AAAGGTGTTAAAATAAACAAAATGGTGGTTACTCCAACACATTTATTGAATAGCTGGTTTAAAATAAAAAAAAAATTAAAAATTGAAAATAAAGTTCCAAGCTACTTAGAGCTGAATGTTGTTGAACAACAAGTTGCAGACATAAACCATAACAATTGGAAACATGCAGGAATTGTAAGGTTGTCTCAGCTATTTGTAGAAGGAACAATTAAAACCTTTGTTCAATTAATACAGGAATATAGCTTACCATCAAAAGAGCGGTTTAATTTTTTTGAGACTTAAACGTTTGAAGACTCATTTAATTGTACCAAAATCTAGTTTGAACAACATGATAAATATATTTCTTAATTCAGATAAAATAAATAAACCGCTCTCCAAAGCTTTGCTATTAATTAAAATGTGTAATAAAGAAAAAATACCAATAGCTATAGCTGCTTGGAAAGACATAGATATAAATATAAGTACTGGGGTTCTTCACTGATAGAAGTCTCGAAGACTATACACTTGCTAAATTTATTAGAAACCCATTTTAAGGTTCTAAACAGATGGTACTTAGTACCAGATAAATTGAATAAAATGTACCCCACAACAAACCATTTATGTTGGAGATGCGCATAGCTACAGGTACTTTTAAGCATATTTGGTGGGAGTGCAACAAATTGAACAACTTGTGGTCTAATATCCAAAGGTTTAATGAATGTTTTCATTAAGCCATATTGCAATTTTCTTTGCATTCTTGGAATTAGACTTCAAATTTCATCGCTCTGTCTTATCACTTTTCTTTTGACAACATTTTGCATTAATCTTTTTCCTGCGCATGCATACTAAGCAGCTACAAAGAACATATCCCCCTGTCTGCAATCCACTGTCCTGGAACTAATGGGCCATGCTGTGCTGGTGTATTAGGCATATCAGGGAGTTTTCCAAATATGTATATTTATTCTCTAATGATATTAATTAAGAGCCACAATTTCAGTATTGTATGCTAATTACGATGTACCTGGCACCTGAACTCGAAGTGCTTTGTTCACATTAAAATCATCTCTAATGATGAAGATCTCTCTCTGAGTCTGGGCTACAAATAGCTCAATAGATTCTTGATATTTCAAGACGTGTGCCATGACAAAGTATTGTGTCTTCTCTTACGTATAAGAGGTTACCTAGGTATTTATTATTTTATAGTTAAAGCTTCCAAATACAAGTCCCTTCGTGGTCGCCAATTGTAACTGCAGGTGGTTCCCTTATTTACCACTATAATGTCTTAAAGCATAGAACTTAGTAGGGCTAACCATACAGATATCTTAGCCATAATTTTATATAGTTAGTAAGAGATCCTCTATTTAACATATATAAATAATTGAGAATACAATATAAAATAAGGATTGTCTTGGAAGCAATAAAATGTTGTCTTTTTGATATCATATAAAAATATAAATATAGACATATTAAACCATTATAGCAGAGTTTATAAGATTAAATGCTTGCAAATATCATTAATAGGTTAACATACCCTTCTGAACATATCATGTCAGCCTCTCTGTCATTTTAAGATGGAGCAGCGTCTGTCTCCAAGTCTCTCCTCTGTGTCTTAACATTTAAAAGTACACCTATTTATACCTTAGGTGTCTCCATTTTAGGGTTACCGTAGTTCATATATGAAAAAGTAATACTTCTTTTACTTTATTCATTTTAGGACCTCCCTTAACTTGGTAAACATACAAGGCCATAACTAAAGCGTGTATACATCATGGAAATTTTCCTGACTTAGTTCAAGATGGCATCTTAAAGTCTGAATAGCTTATCTATTGTTTATACTAAGTCGTAAGTGCACAGTCGTGGGAGATTCCCGGATTTGGGGAAGTTCCATTAACTTGGGGTTACCACAGTATATTGTGTACTGAAAGTCATATAGCCTTGAAGCTTGTTTATGCATTATTGTTATTGTAATTCGTCTGGGACAAAATGGCGCAAACATATTATGAAAAACAATATCTATGAAAAACAATATGTTCCATTTCTAACAACTTGTCAATTTGCAATCTCTCTTAAAGACAAAGTACACAGTTTAAGAAATGCAACATTTCATTCTAAAACTTGTAATATTTGCATTTGTCCATAACAGGGCCAGTCCCCCTCCCCCTCCCATTATCCTTTATGGCCCCCACCTGCCGCTCGGGGGGAGTACTAGGGTTTTTGTGTGTTTTTTATTTTTTAACAGTGAGCAGCCACAGGCTACTCACTGTTTAGTAGACAAGCCCCTACTCGCGGTATAGCGATTAGGGGCATTCGGGAGATTTCAATCTCCCATATGCTATTATGGGGTTCATATTGATGGGGAGCACTGCTCCCTGACGCTTCTATCTTTACATTTTACAAGGAGGGAGCTGCGAGCCGGTAGCTCCTTCCTTGTAATAAACTGAACGAATTAACAAACTAACACTGATATTCAATGTTTGTCTGACATTTCTATTCATTCCTTAGTCTTTCTAATGAATGAATGAATGGATGGATGAATGAATGCCCAGGTGTTTAACTACTTTCATCTACCCACACAAAAGATGGCAGCACCCAGAACCTAGGTCCGTGCACAAAATAAATAATAAAAAAAAAGTAATATGGGAGGCTTAGGGGCATTGATTCGGCCATGACAGTGCCGCTTTAAGAGATAGTAGTAAATAAGGGAAGCAGTCGCGGTTACACCCCTTCCCGACATTCGGGGGTACTATGATATACTAGAAAAGGAGGGCATTAACACCGTTCGGGCAGCAGAGCATGCCTAAACGATCAGGCCCTTCCCCCTGCCAGAATGTTTACCTGCTTTCGATCAACCTAGGCAGTCCCCCTGCAGCCAAACATCAGCTGTACTTGGTGGACATCACAGAATAGAAATGTCTTTTAGTGCAGCAAACACTATGACATTCACAGTTAAAATGCCATGCAGAACTTTCTCACAATTTTGACTTCATTCCTATTAAACTAGGTTTCATATGTAAATATTGGATATATTTACTAGTGTTGAGAGATATTTTTAAGAGACTGCTTTTTATTATTATCCCATAGTTTTTACTACACATACAATTACCTACCAGTCAGGGTCATACATCGAATACAATTACCTACTGGCAGCTGGACCACCATATTATCAGCTGCTGAAGGACTTTTTATAGGCTTGCGACTGCAGCTCTGCTTGTTGCAAGCTCCTCTGTTCTGTCCATAGGCTGCATCCTTAGGACTAGGTGACAGGACATCCATATGACTGGGAAATGCACTGCCATAACTCATTGCCTTCATACAGGAAGAGGTGAGGGCAAGACAATGCGTTCCGGCTGGCAGGAGCTGGTATGTAAAGACGGCTAGTATCCCCAGTACCACAACCCCTCTCCATGTGGGTTGAGAGGTAAAACATGTACAAGGATACAATATTTCACATATTTATTAGAAAACAGTAAAAACAGTTGAATTAAACAAAATTGTTCAACTCCAGAAAGGGGTTTAGTTTATGAATTTTAAAATTAAAAGAATGGAGGAAAAAAAAAAAACAAACAAAAAAGAAACCAAAAAACAAAACAAAAAACAGTAATGAATACAGTTACCTAAATGAATAAGATTTACATTTCACCACATTATAAATCAATCCTTACTAGAGTGAAAAGTGCAGTGCTGGCTGGCTTGGCAGCAATTGAAGGAAATTGTATTTAAAATGTAGTACAAAAAGCAAGTATAGCAGGTTTTAGGTTTCACACAAAAATGAATAGATTACAAATTACATATGTACACTAATGTCTTTAGAAAGAGCCCTTTCTTTTTTATTTTAAAGAGAAACATTCAACAGTAGTACTAAAGTTTTATGCACCACTGAACACAGTCCTTGGTTCAAATTCATCGTGCCAATACACATTAAAAACCAGTGATGGTAATAAAATGAGTGTATTCCTTAAATACTCGACGTTCTCATTGGCAGCTCCTTTGGAAAAGCAATCCTAGCGTTCGTTTAAAAAACAAGAAAAACCCTAGTATCTAAAATAAAAGCACAGAGAGGCCACTGATTTTAAAATGCAGATTATAATATACAAAATTAATGTTTAAAATAAACTCAATTGATAGCTTGAAAAAGTTTTCTATAATCTGTATCATGCTGCTGCAATAGCACCCAGCACACCAATTGAGTAACTGTGTCTGCACTAATACTATTCCCCTTGCTTCAGTTTCGAAAACAGTCTCTTCCGATATTAAGCTAGGGGTTTTTCAAGTAGCGCCTCACTCCCTCAGGACATGAGCTCCTTTAGGAGTTACAACTTTGTATCCTTTACAAACATCTGTTTGTTTAACCCTTTTGTTGTACATTGTTGCCGTTTCTTATTCTCGCGACCTGAAGTTTGCCTAAATAAAATGATCTAACCTTCAGTGCATCTCAAAGAAGCAGGTTTCCCACCTCCTAATCCTCCAGCTCAGACAGCTTTGGCAATCATAAGCAGAGAAAGTCAGCCCAGACTAGCAAACACACCCAAGTCTACATTGCTCTATCCATAGCATATGGGGAGTAACGCCTGAGCTGGATGGAGGGGTGAAGGAGAAGGCTGCTTCGTTGAGATACACGATCAGGGAGATCATTTTATTTAGGCAAACTTGCGGTGGAGTAAATAACAGCAACATTATACAAAAAAAGGGTTAAACATGATTGTAAAGCACTAAGAAGAATACATGTGGACTCTAAATTGCACCATCTGTGTGCTGAATGAAAGACCTCCAGCAGTGTGATACAGATTATAGAAAGCAGATTTTCAATCTACAAATTGTGAATGTATCTTAAACATTGATTTTGTTTAATATAAATGACGTTTCAGTGGCCTTTAAGTGAAATTACCTTTTAGATACTGGGGAAAGTTTTAAAGAGAAAAACAAACAAACCACATCTTGTTTGTGCATTTCAGTGTCAGTCCCTGCAAACCAGGATTATACAATTAACCAGTAAGTAGGGCAAGTAGGCTGGTGTTGAACTGCTACCAACCAAACATGTATTCCATTGCTTTTGATACCATACTTCCATCTTTTCTAGGAGTCTGTTTATCTGACATAACCTGTAAGAAAGAAGGAAATAAAAATTAGAAATTCCGTAAAAAAAAAAAGAAAAAAACAACTATAAAAAATTAAAACCCTATGTATGCACTAAACAAAAGTTACATAATCTACTCAATACTGTATTGCATGAATGGTAGCATCATCTTTGCAATTATTTCCTGTAAATAGGGCGCCATAATCTCAGGGCGAAATAGGACACTTACACTAATATTATCCCATAAACTATAACACTAACCATGCTGCTTTTTTTTTTTTTTTTTTTAAATTGAATGTAGAATTCATAGTTATGCATCTATTTCATTAGGGAAAAATAGTGCAATCTTGGGGTTCTGGAATAATTTCCAAGTCACTTCACCTTATGGATTACGTTTTAATTTAAATGGTATATTATGGGAAAATGCCACGGAGGTATTCTGTAGAAATCACTGTTGTGTATATGTAAAGTAGAAAAGTATAGTATTCTGTAATATTTTTAATGGACTTAAATAATTTTTAAACGAGCAGCTTTAAGGGAGAATCTCCCTTTATCAAGTCAGTTTCAGGTAGAGGGAGTCCCCCACACAAACCTGATTAACATAAAAACCCATTAATATGAAGAAGTGAGAGTATAATGCCTGCTGACTTCCACACTTTTTTCCAGATTAGCTATTGTAGGCTATATTTGGTCACTGCAACTTATAGTTTAGTAAATAAGTAACACGTATTACATTTCCTCTTCATTCTCCACCACACAAGCTCCATTTCCCAACAGTAAATCTCCATTATCACCAAATCATTCATTAGTTCTTCTCCATTCCACCACAACATACCACTCTGCCTCAGTCTCATACACAAGCAACATCCTCTTAGAATGGCTCCTGAGAACAACAAGGCTGCAGCACATCATAGTATTGCAACTGCTACAAGGTACACTGTACATTACATACAAGCTACCCATTACTCAACCTATATCTGCGGTTTTCTCTTTTTGCCAATTTGGCATTGCTTTTATATTTTTTTTTTTAGTACTACACTAATGCTTAATGCCTAGATTACAGACAGAATATTTCAGGCAAAATATGTCATCTGTCCCAAATCGGTTCTTTGTCAACTCTATGGACCATTAATACCTAGTGCATTCCTTCCCAAAGTGTACGTATGAGATCCTTCTAATCTTTTCTGTTTTCCAGCTGCAGTAGTTTACAAACAAGTAACCTTGACCTGGTCTTTTCCAGCCTTTGCTCTGTTCCTAACTTTTCTAACACGCCATTCTGTCTGACCGCCATCTAATCTGTACTGTGCTCCTCACTTAACATCTTATAGCCTGAGAGGAGCTGGTTTTTAGAAAACTAAATCTCCCACGCCCTTCTTCCCACCATCTCTTGACTCTACTTCTAACTACTGTCCCATATCACTTCTCCCCTTCGAAATCTCTTGAAAGGCTTGTGCTTGCCAGTCTAGATCAATTTCTCAATACTAATAACCTCCTTGATCCTACACAAATTGGCTTCCACTCCCTCCATTCTACTGAAACTGCACTAACCAAAGTGACCAATGACTTAATCCTTGCCCAATCTAAAGGTCACTACAGGCTTAATTATCCTCTCTGCTTCTGGCACGGTTGACCACAATTCTTCACCCTCCATAACCTTGGACTCTTAACACAATTCTTTCCTCTATTTTCATCAGATCTTTCTAAAGGCTTATTTAGACTCTCAGGATTCCACTGCCATTTCTCAGTTGGTGTTCCATAACGTTCTGCTCTTCATCCTCTTATTGCAGATTTACACTGCCTCTTTGAGCAACATTAAAAGGATCACTAAAGGGTCAGAAACACAAATATGTACTCCTGACCCTATAGTGTTAAAACCACCATCTAGCCCCCGTGGGCCCCTCATGCCTCCATAAATAGAGCAACATCTTACTGTATTCAAGCCAGAAGCTTTAACTCTGCATGCTGTTTGCCTCAAAAACAAACAAGCAGCCTGCTGACATCATCAGAAGTGGTAGCCTGATCCAATCACAATGCTTCCCCATAGGATTGGCTGAGACTGACAATGAGGCAGATCAGGGGCAGAGCCAGCATGATTCAAACACAGTCCTGGCACCTCCTCATAGAGATGAATTGAATCAATGAATCTCTATAAGGAAAGTTCAGTGTCTGCATGCAGAGGGAGGACACATTGAGTGTTTGGATGGATTTTAGGATTTTTAGGAAGGATCTCTAACAGCCATCTGAGGAGTGGCCAGTGAGGTTATCACTAGGCTGTAATGTAAAGACTGCATTTTCTCTGAAAAGACAGTGTTTACAGCAAAAAGCCTGAAGGTAATGATTCTACTCATCAGAACAAATTCAATAAGCTGTAGTTGTTCTGGTGACTATAGTGTCTGTGACGGTCCAACCCTCTGACCGTCTTGGTTTCCCTTCTCCCAGTAGTTAGAATAGTAGAATAATCCTTCCAGGCAGAATGTAGACACAAGCATAGCATAACCCCTCACACATGAGCCGAGGCTTAATGCTGGGTAGAAATCTGTTTAATGCACACAAAGCAACAGTATTCATGCAGTAAAACCACTCCTGCTCTGAGGAAAACAAAATGCTGATCGTTAAAAGGTCAGACAGTGTTTGAATATGACAGTTACTGGGTCAGACTGTTTGAATGTAACAAAGGTATTAAGGGTTTAACTAAGGGGGAATAAAACAGTCAAACTAAGTCCATAAAACAGGGGCTCTCTTCACACACCCCAAGGGCCATAGTCACAGGGCAAGAGGCCTCTCCAAAACCCAGTGGCAAGGTTACTTTCACCACAGTGTCCCTTTAACTCTTTAGGATTTCATTACCAACTACATGTGGATGATACTCAGAGCTACCGCTGCACGCCTGGAATCCATCCCAAACTGCCTCTCTTCCATATCCAACTGGATGTTTCGTGGTTTTCTAAAGCTGAACTTTTTATCCCCTCACTCTAACATCTACCGCAATCTATCTCTGCACTTCAAGCTCACTGCATTGGAAGTCTAAACATTTCGCCTCACATTTTGTCTGTTTCCAAATCCTGCTATTTTCACTTTAAAAATGTTGCTCACATACACCCTTTTCTTATCTGAAAGCATTTTAATATAGCTTTACCCCAATAAACCTTGTTAATGATGGCACTTGTAAACTGCAAGCTGAAAGGAAACCAGATACAACAATACCAGGTGTGGTTACATCCCTACTGTATCAAGGTCATTCATTAAAATGCTAAACAGAGGCAACAATTGCTGATCTGAGAACATTCTCTAACTCTGCTATACTTATAGTGTGGCTCTTTTGCCTCAGTTTTTCCCCATATGGAATTTGGAGAGAAAAAAAAACAAACAAACAAACAAAAAAACACACTGGACAGGACCAATAATCCTCGAGATTTATTATCAATTATTATTATCTGGCTGTGCCGGTTTTCATTTGCTCTCTTTGATGAAAACATAGCCTTACTTGAAATATACCCCCAGGTCCAGATTTACATACGTAAAGAGTAAATGTCTTTGGCATGCATCTCAATATACTCATTTTCTATTTTAAAATTAAACTTTACTAGAGTTTGCCAATAGCAAATTAATGGAAGAAATGGCACACGTTTGTCAAGTGTGATGGACCACCTGGGTACCTCCTTTTAAAAAAACAAAAAACAAAAACGCTGCTTCCTAGTACTTGCAAGGACCATAAGGACTGTACTGGAACACCATAAACCCCACGAACCACTGCAGCTTGGTTGGGGTCTCGCCGTCCTCCACCCACCCTGGACCCTTACAAGAGCTAGTGATTATACTCAGGGGAGTATTGGGATATAGCAATCCCCAGAGTGAATGTAGTTCTCCAATCCCCCAAACATGAGCCAAGACTTCATGAAGGGGTAAACAAAACTCTTTAATGGGAGCCACAATGGCGTTTTATGCAAGTTCCCAAGCAAGGTGTACGCCCACACGGACCTTGTTGGTGACAGGGACACAAACCAATAGTAACACATTTACAATGTAAGGCACTCCCACACATAGCACACAATCCCTCCCCTCTGCTTGGGAGATAATTGGACCAGTAACTGTACTAATTCTAATCCAATTATCTCCAAGCAAAGAAAAAAAATTAAAAAGAAACCACCCCAAAAGTACCTTAAAATACATAAAACCCAAAAAAAGTTACATGCCCTGATCTGGGTGAACATATCCAGAAATCACCTAGATCAGTTCAGGGGTTCATGAATTTCCTGGAAGTCTAATTTTTGACTGACTGCACATGGTCCCATGCCCAAAACATTTCCAGAGATTTAGTGCCAACGGTCGGTCTCTCTGTCTGGAGTACATACTTCACATGAACAGAGCCTTTTAAAGTATTTTAGCCAGGTCTATTGAAGGGCCATAGTCACAGGAGGCTGGCAAACAGGCCCCTCCAAAAACTCGTGGCAAACTCACAGGAAAAGAGGAGTTTGTCACATCAGGTAACTAGGAACAGGCTGGAACCCACCTAGCCATGGAACCTTATACAATAAGATGAATTTTACTAGTTTAATGGAAGAAATAGCATATTTCGAGGGATCTTTTAGTAGGTTTTGGAACAGCTTGGTCAAGGTTCCTGTACAATATGAAAATTTAGAAGAAAAATCCAAAGACCGTGATTTTGTTGTTACAGTTTCTTTTTTTGATTGGACATTTCAGGCGTATAAACAAGTATTGTAATGGGTGATCACACAAGAAATTTGCACAACAATGAATTTGATGTAGACTTACATTATGCAAGTGGAAGGGAATTGCATTAAAATTTCCTATTCTAACCAATTCCTATGTTATTGCTCAGCTTTCGCTGTTTAACCCCATTAAGGACCAAACTTCTGTAAAAAAAGGGAATCATGACATGTCACACATGTCATGTGTCCTCAAGGGGTTAAAACAAAATAAGTAGTTTTGAAAAAAGGAACAGTGAACCTATTGGTTACCTCAGCATAGAACGTAAAGCAGAATAGTTCAAATACTCTACCTGATAGTCACTAGTTGATGCTCTATAAGCAGCAGAAAGTGGACGCATTTTGGAGTTTGCCTTTGGTGTACCAACAAGATGTGTGGGTGTGTCAAATGCTTTTATGGATGGGCTGAAGACAGTAGACACAGAAGACAATTGACTTTTCTCACCACTTTCCATTACACTCTGGGAAATCGAAAAAACAAAACAAAAACATTAAGATAAAATGATGTGCAACAATAGTGAAATCAATTTGCTGCACACTAGATCATTTGAACATTGGAAAGTAACGCAATGGCATCCTTTCATTACACATCACAAATTAACTGCTCTGTAAACAGACAGGTTCCGAGGGAGAGCGATTAGCACAAGTTATGTGCACAGAGTGATTATGTGCATAATGCTCACTGTCTTACAGAGTTTTTCACAAAAGTGAGATCAGGACTAGAAAGCAAATTTAACGCCAAACAGCTGAACTAGAAAAAGTCTCCAAAAAGCATATATGCTTCCTGTTTAGCTGCTATGGATTCCAAACAATTCTCACCTGTAGCAGTTCCCTAAGGCACTTAAAGAGCAGGTACAAGTTATTCTCTACACCAGCAACTTTACAATTATGCAACGTCTAAAAAACAATGAACTTAAGGGGGAGAAGTTTTTTAGTGCAATACTTACTTTATCAATGCAAGGTTTCACACCAATCATAATAGATTCACCGAAAATTTTTCCGTCTTTGCTTAATGCTTTTCTAGCTTGTAATTTGGACTGATATTGTATATGCATCCAATTTCCAGTGTTTGACATCTAAAAATAAATCACACATTAGCAATAGCTACGAAAATGCCTAAATGGTTAGTCTAAGAAATATGGCAACTTTACATGGTAGCATAGGCCATTGGAGCAACTAAATGACCTCCATTTGTCTAAATATACATAGGGATTAAGGAGAGAGCGCAGGTAACTTTTCTTTGGTTTTTACTATATATTGGGGCTGATGTGTACTGTAGTCATTGCTGCCGGCCCAGTAGTGATGGAGTGAGCGCAGGACTTCTCTTTTTGTATTTGTATTTACTTTGTATCACACAGCCTTGTTACAATGCTGCCGCCCATCCCATGTGTTCCCTATTAAGGGTTAATAAGTATATAGGGGTGTATATAAAAAATACCCCTCTGTTTCAGAGATATCTTTGCCAGAATCTCAAGGAAGCAGGCTGAAGGGAGGGGAAGGGGATGGGGGGAGGGGAAAGGGGGGAGGGGAAAGGGGGAGGGGAAGGGGGTGGATGGAGGGGGGAGGGTCTGCCTTGACGTTGGCAGGCAGGCATTCCCTCCAATGGCCATTGGAGCAACTAAATGACCTCCATTTGTATAATATACATGGGGATTAAGGAGAGAGCGCAGGTAACTTTCTTTTCTTTGGTTTTTACTATATATTGGGGCTGATGTGTACTGCAGTCATTGCTGCTGGCCCAGAAGTGATGGGAGTGAGTGCAGGACTTCTCTTTTTGTATTTATAATGTACTAACCTCCTATTCAGGTCTCCCTGCCCAGAGAGTCATAAGTGTACAAATTTGCATGCACAAAAACCACAAACACCTCCCAAATCCAGAATGGCAGGTTCACCATTACTGGAGTCTCTTTATAGTCTAGGAGAGGTCTATCAGCTATAGACACATTCCTGTGCTAGTGTTTTTTGAAAATTTAAAAGGAGAGAGTTATTGTCCCCTCTTTTTGTTAAAAAGATGGTTTTGCATATTTTTAGTACATCATCCAAATACTACATTCAACAACAGTGGAAATATCCAGCATATTGCGTATCTTGAGTTTTAAATCCAACAAAACGATTTACCACGTGCTTGTTTATGTTTCCATATTGAGCAAACTGCAGTAGAATATATGAAGCAGAGGCTTGGGGAAATCTGAAAAGAAGATTAAAATTTGATTGTTTAAAACCCGTTTTTACAGACCAGATGCTACTTCCTACCACAGTCCTCTACAGTAATAAAAGCAAAAGAGGTATATGTTGCCGAATACGACAGTGTCATCCAGCAATGTATATGTACACGGTAAGGCACAGGATAGTGAGAGGTAACCAGGGTACTGTTGGTGTATCTGAACTATAGGGATTTAATCCACAAATCTGCAAAGCACTCACAGGTATAGTCATATAGAGAAAGTACACACCACATGAAAGAAAGAAGCACAGACACATGAGAGGTCTGTATCACTATAAATATCAGAAAAAGACACAGATCACGGTTATTCACTAAACTGAAAATTTTCAGGGATTGAAAGTGAATTACAAATTTAAGTACAAAATAGACAAAAACAGGAAAAATCTCTACGTTTGCTGCCAGTTCAGCTAGGCGCTCCAACTGACAAAATAATGAATACAAAATAAAAATTTTACTCTATAAGCAAGGGGAGGAATGTGGCAGAAACAAAGAAGCCAGACTTATCGAACAGTTCAGGATTCAGGGGCATGCTTACACTCCTGCTCCATTAATTTAAATGCACATGGAATGAGGGAACTTAACACTGGCCAATACAGGGTCTATTTTTAAAGAACTCATTAAATTAATTACTAATTTAGGAATAGTAAATATTTACACCCCAGTGTGGAGAGACTCCAAATTTATAGTCATTTAAAATTCAGAGGATGGTAGTGGCATTTACTTAACATACAGGTTTAAAGTAGCAAACAAAACACACAAAATTAGATAGGAACTAGAAACGAAGTACTTCTCTTACTTACCCAAATACAGTCACCCATGTATCATCTAACTGATCGTCTGAAGTCAATGTATCACCCTGTGTGTAGAATGGATCCATCTGTGCAGGGGAAAGGGCAGCTTTACCACTTTGCCCAACAGTTGCTGGACTAAAGACACAAGAAGCTGTAAAAGAAATACAATTAAAATTTTAAATCACTTACTGGAGTTTATTTTAAGTTTTAACAATAGTCTATAATTAGATGAGAAGAACACAGTATATGTAGACTAACAAGGTTATTTACTAAAGTAGGAATTCAAATGTACTTTAAAATTTAGGGCCATAGTAGCTGAATGGAAAGTCTAGCAGACTTATGGCGTAATCTTACAGTTTGACCATTTTCACCTTAGACGGACACTGCATGCCCCAAAACAACTTTTGCTTAATGAAGCAGTTTTGGTGTATAGGTATAGATCACTCACAGTTTCCAGAGCCACATATAGCAGGCTCTGGTTGTATTGGCTTATCAGTAAATCAGGTTGCTTTGATGTATACAATACATCCTATAATAAGTATACATCACTGTGTGTTGGTGGTTATTATTGCGCACCCTTTATTTTGTGTTATTGCATATTGTGTTTAGTGTCTGGTTTGTGACTATAGACCTAGGGTTGAAGCATTTGCACTTTTTTACTCACCTCGTTCCAGCACCGGGAGCCTTGCGAAGCCGCACCCCCTATTTCGTCAAAATGACTAAATAGGTGGGCGCGAGCAATCAGACGCTTCCATTCGGAAGTGTCATTGCTCCCTTGTGCGCATGCGCGGCTTTGCCGCACATACTTCATTGGGTGGCATTCATGCCACCCTATAAAGTCCTGAGCGCACTACCGCGCATGCACGCGGTCGCAAGCTGAGCGGACAGCTTAGCTCGTGGTCTTTGCCTGCCCCCTCTCCTCTGCTGACAGGCAGGAGAGAGAAGGCACACACACATTGCCTTCTCTCTCCTGCACACGTCAGACGTATTTTAATACGTCTGACGTGTACATGGCCTTTTTAGGGCCATACATGATAGGAAGTCCCTCTGGTGGCCGTCTGAGGGACGACCACTGGAGGTATTTCTATCAATGTAAACACTGTATTTTCTCTGAAATTACATTAAGCTGTAGTTGTTCAGGTGACTATAGTGGCCCTTTAAGGACTGGACACTGGAGGTTTCTGTAAACATTTACAAAATAGAAAACTTGAGACACTAGAATGCCAGGTCACCTACCCAATGAAGATGGAGGCAGTTATGAGGAAGAAGGGGAGAAAAAAAAAAAAAAAAATATTTCTGGCAAGAGACCATAAGACAAAACAAGAGTCTTACCTTAATGGCCTCGGAGTGTGCTGGAGAGAGCACACTGCAACAGAAGTGAGAGCATCTGGCAAACAGATGCTGGTTTTGACATCCTAAATGGTCCTGGAAACCACGAAACTATTAAAAATGTTTGCGTCTGAATTTGAAGATCACATTGCGCATGCGCAATCGCAATGTGTGTGTGTGTTCCACTGCCAGGGCCTCCCACCCAAGGAGTGTTCCATCTAGGAGTCAGACCTGTTCTGTATCTTCTGAATTAGCCTGGACAGAGTCCTCCTCAGCCAACTCTCCAAATCCTGGAGACACAAAGGTGATTGCCCTTGTATCCTGCCAAGGGCCAACTGGGGTTGTGGATTGGAGCAGAGAACCATTTTAATTTTAAGTGTCTGCCTGCCTTACCTGTCCAGACTAGAGGATATCCCATGTGTAGTGCACTGCCTCTAATCTGGAGGGAAAACAGGGAAGTTATTCCTGGTGGCACACTGTACATCAATATAGCAGCACTGGCCAGGAGGCTAAATGATCTACTTAACCCCTTAAGGACCAAACTTCTGGAATAAAAGGGAATCATGACATGTCACATGTCATGTGTCAAAGAGTATCTGTGCAAAAGAGAGAAATAGCCCATAACTGGTGCTCGCTTCTAAATACTCACGCAACTGATGGAACAAAGCTTCCCCCAAGTTTCATCTCTCCACCTTTGGTTACCTCCGCTTTCCAGTTTAATACATGGTGTGATCTGCTAGCTGAGATTCCGTTGCCCACTTACCTCTCTTCAAAAGTTTTCACATTTTCTAAAAAATTATGCTAAACTGCTTGTGGTGAAAATATATAAAACCCTCTTGTTTTCATATTAAAATTACTCATCCTGCTGTTGCTCCCCCTCTTAAAATTCTTTTCAAATGGTAGTGGTTTCAGCTTGCCTAGATGGGTTGCTATTAGCCAATGGTCACTGTTCCCTGGACAATCACTCACACTACAGATCTGAAGTTTGGGAAAAACATTTTCCCCCCTTTAGAACAAAAAACTCCTTTTCTCAAATTAAAATTACTCCTGCCAATGCTCTGCTTTCTTCATAAACTTTACAAAAATAAAAGAATTTGAAAATTTCTCAAAAAAAAAAAAAAAATTTAAATAAATTAGATAATGTAATATGGGCAACTCAAATTTTTCATTGCAAACAAAATGCCAGTTATTGCCTTGCCATAAGGCCAACCAATATTGGAGTTTTCCGCACTGCAGTACACAAATAGTATATTCTCACCGTTTCGCTTTGTCAGAATCATTCCCCCTCTCCCCCACATCGTGTGGACGCAGTTAATCTGAATTGAAATGCAATATTGACAAAACTTTGTACATCCAAACTGAATTTTATTTCCCATGCACACGATATTTGTGACAACACAAAAAAAAATAAAAAATAAAAATTTGATTTTCTGTTGGTCATGACTACAAAACAGGAATTATTTCCTCCTTCCCATAGCTTCTATCAAATTTTTCTATATATCCGGTGCGATAAGTGGAACACTAGCTGGGGGATCAACTACCTATGCCATAATTCCCCATCCAGAAACTCCTCACATGCGGCTTAATATTTGAATTCCTTTACTGCTAGCCAGGCCTTAGAAAGTACTTGTCACTGCAAGCCATCGTATGCAAACCAGGCTAAATTTTAACTTGCCAATGGCTATTGGAAATTCTGAGCCCTGAGAGATAGATTTTAGTAATGCATAGATTTTACAGGAACAAAAAAAAAAAAAAAAAAATACATTCCTGTCTTCTGTATCCCTTTAAACAAGCATACCTGCACCTGGAGTTGAAGGAATTGCAGCAGATGATGGAGTTTGGACCCCAGAGAAGTTGACCTGTATGAGAAAGATTTAATCTCAGATTAAATGTTGCTAATAAAACTGTATACTTTCATTTAACAAAAAAAAAAACAAACAAGAAAAAACACAATGACTGCACTAGTACATAATGCATGTATACTGTTGAAATGCAGTATACAAAAAGTTTATTTTTTTATGTTGATACATGTGATTGGAGCTTTTTTTACATTATATAGTTCTGCTTTTTTCAAATATATTTGTATTTATTTTGTAATATATTTTTAGCGCCATACTGTTACTTGTTTTTTTCTGTACACATTATGCAAAAAGTTCCCTAGTATATTTTAGCATCCGACTGCATACATTTAGGATGAATAGAATAACTTGCTACTTTACCGGTTTTCTTGCACTTAACAGTGTGGAACCAAAAACTGGGCTTGAAAAGTCATCATAAATACTTCCAACAGGAGGTGCCCCACTCTTCTCTTTATGCGTAGAAACTACAGACTGAGGAGGAGATCCACCTAGAACAGTTATCACAAGAAACTATTTGACATACACATGCATGACACAAGCCAAGTGATCATAAAAACCTGATCCATTGCCGTGACTGAGATCATAAATGACAAGTACATCCTCGGGCTTGCCCAATGTGAAGTGAATACACCTGTGCACATTCAACTCGATGAACATACTTGTGTAATTTTTTTGGGCGAACAGAATTTCTGATTACCTGAAAGCATAGGAGACCGCATCTCCATTACCCCCAATGGTGGACGTGGCTGTGGTGTTGAAGGCATTGGTATATCTCCCATTAAAAAGCCAGGTAGAAACTGGGCACTGGCGCCAAGTTTTGGAGATGTTGGTGATCCGAGCGCCATTGGTTCACCTCCTATATGGAGAGAAACAAAGTTTGCTTTTATTACTCGGGAAGATTGCTGGCTACTCTAAAACAAGATCCCTAGTAAATATGTAAGTGTGGAATATCTTGCTTGAAATACTGTTAAGTATACTTGTATTTGAGATATGCTTGAGAAAAGCAAAACCGACACTATCTGGATATAGGTTTTATGGGCAGTGTATTTTTGCCTTAAAACGCTAGTTACTTTCAAGTCATGGTCAACAGAGATGTAAAATTTCCAGAATCTTTGAAAAAAAAAAAAAAAACAAACACTATACACTCAGAATTAAAAGTACTTTTGTTACTTATAAAAAAGTGCAGGGTTTATAAAAAGTATGTTTGAAATAAAGTTACAGCATATTCACTAAATAAGCGGAGCAGAGCACTTGTAAAATATGAGAAAGAAAAGTTATAGGCAGGACAAGGAGAGAACGGAATAATAATATCAACAACAACAACATTATTATTATTAATGTGGGCTAACTAGCTCAGCCTTACTGTTGGACGCTGCCATAAGGAAGGTAAAAGAAAAGCCTAAAAAAATAAATAAAAAATAAATAAAAAATTATGCGATAAAAAGGAAAAGATGAAAATAAATAAATTAAAAAAATAAAATAAAGGAGGAGCAAAAGCAATGTTTAGAGTGGCTCATGTTTTGGCATCTTATAAAATAAAGAAAGAAGGCAGGGAAATAAGTAAAGGAAGGAGAGAATATAAAAATAAAATAAAAAAAGACCCCTGATATATTGATATAATATAAGGAAGGTAAAGAAGAAGGCAGGAAAAGTAGAAAAAAAGAAAAAGGGAATTTCTTTTTATGGTGACACGTAATAAAAAATTGGCACCTAATACAGCATTGTTTTTGGAGTTTGTAATAAAAGGGAAAGAGGGGTGGGGAAAAAAAGCACTGTGCAGAGTGCAGATCAAAACGTGGTAAGAGTAAGAATAGTTGTTAAATTGAGCAACAAATTTAGAACCCATGTCTGAAAAAAAGAAATATGCTCGTTTACCAGAGTATCTGAAGATGGGTTTCATTGAATCTGTTACAAATAAACAGCTTCCAATGTGTTTACTGTGCCACAAGACATTATATAATGAAGCAAAGTCGATTGCGAGAACATATTGCTACAAAGCATTTGCAAGATAAAGATAAGCCGATTGAATATGTTCAAGAAATCTATAAAAGATTTCAAAATCGTTCAATAGCTGCATCATTTCAAAAACATGCAAATAATGAGGATGGATTAACTGCAGCTTATCGTATATCACACTTAGTTGCAAAAAGTAGTAAGCGCCATAATATTGGAGAAACTTTGATAATATCTATCAAAGAATTTCTCTCAACAGGTAATGCATCAGGATATACCTGACGTTTTAAAAACATTGCCCCTTAGCGGTAACACAGTAAAGAGACACATTGATGAAATGGCGGCTAATGTTGAAAATAAACTTATAGGTATTCTCCAAAATTCTTCATTTTCCATACAATTGGACGAGTCTGTCATTGCAGATAAGAATACATTGCAAGAAGAAATGTTATTCACAGTCAATCTGATTACAGATACAAAAAGATTATCAATATTTAATGCTGTGAAATAATACTTTGCAAAAAATAATATACCCTTGAACAATATTGTTGCATGTGCTACTGATGGAGCACCATCAATGATAAGCCGCTATCGTCGGCCTGTTTCTTACTAAGAAGTGCCAAATGTTGTGTATTCATTGTGTTGTGCACAGACAACATATTGTAGGAAAACATTTAAGTACAAGTCTCCATTCATCATTAAAGCGGCACTATCATGCCGAATCCGTTTTTTGTTTTTTTTTTTAAACCCCCCTCCGGCCTCCACTACATCTAACACACACCATAGTCACCCCCAAATGCCCCTAAGCCCCCCATATTACCTATTTTTTATTCCTTATTTTCTGCCCCAATCTATATTCAGGGCGCCGCCATCTTTGTGTGGGTAGATGAAGTCCCTGTGGGACACGTCATCTGCCCACACTATATAGCACTGAGATTCCCGCACATGCGAACGGGAATTTCATCTATTCATTCATCAGACAGCCGAATGAATGAATAGAAATATCAGCTGAACAAACAAACACTGTGTATCAGTGTTCATGCAGTTTATTAGAAGGAGGGAGCTACCGGCACGCAGCTCGCTCCTTGTAATATGTAAAGATAGAAGTGACAGGGAGCAGTGCTCCCCACCACTTGAAATCCATCCAATCACAGTGCTCTTTGTCATTTTACACAGCGTGGGAAAGTTCTTTTGAATTTTCCCACGCTGTGTAAAATGATACTCTGATTGGCTTAAACCCACCAATCAGAGTGTTCTTCGCCTAATTGCAGGGCCTTGCCCCGCCCTGCGGAGCTCAGTCTGCGCGGAGCCCTCCATGGGTGAAGATGGATTATTTTTTTGCACTCTGGTTTTTTTCTTTTTCGTCTGGTTTTTTTCGCTCGGGATTTTTATTTTATTTTCAACTCGACTGTTATGATGGTTTTTTTACTTGGCCTTTTTTGGGGCTGAAAAATGAAGATTTGAAAAAAAAAAAAAAGAAGACCCTCAATGGTAAGTTTATTTTATTTTACAGGTTAGTTATTTTATGTTTAGGGGGTGGGGCCATAGTGAGAATGTGAGGGGGACCTACTTTTTTTTTTTTCTTACTTTTTTTACAGTGAGCAGCCATAGGCATATTATTTACTAATACTAAGTAATTTTTACTTAGTATTGGTAAAGTTGGCTGAAAGACCAATTTAGGTCTTTCAGCCTTTTAGGAGATAGCTCCCTAATACCGTGGGAATTAGGGAGTTATCTACTAAGCGGCTGCAAGATGCAGCCACAGCAAGAATAGGATCGGAGTTTCATTCATTCGAATGAAATTCTGATCCGAATAAAGTGTAATATTTTCAATAGAGAATTTCATCACTTTCCTGAATTGAAAGGTTCAGTAGCCACCTCAATGAACTCAAATTGGATATGGAAAAACGATTTCTAGATATTTTGAACTTAAAGGTGCATGACTGGATGATAAATCCTTTTACAGCAAGTGTTGCGGAGGTTGATTTAACTTGCCAAAAAGAAATATTAGAACTTAAATATGACAAAGAGTAAATGTAATTTCGGCAGTGGTGGATACCAAAAACTCTGGCAAAATAAAAAGATGCCTGCATTATATCCAAATATGTGGAAATTGATATTCAATTTATTGATATCTCCTCCCTCTGCATGCAGACACTGAACTTTCCTCATAGAGATTAATTGATTCAATTCATGCTGATTGGCCAGGGCTGTGTTTGAATCATGCTGGCTCTGACCCTGATCTGCCTCATTGTCAGTCTCAGCCAATCCTATGGGGAAGCATTGTGATTGGATCAAGCCAACCCTTCTTATGATGTCAGCAGACTGCTTGTTTTTTATTTTAGGCAAACAGCATGCAGAGTTACAGCTTCTGGCTTGAATACAGTAAGATTTTGCTATCTTTATGGAAGCATGAGGGGAATACAAGTTTGTGTTCCTGACCCTATAGTGATCATTTAAATTGCAGCTTCAAGGAGCCAATATAAGTCATAAGTTGCAAACATATTGTGTCATAATTCATCAAAAAGCTTGATCTTCTCCGTCATAATATTTTCAATAGAGAATTTCATCACTTTCCTGAATTGAAAGGTTCAGTAGCCACCTCAATGAACTCAAATTGGATATGGAAAAACGATTTCTAGATATTTTGAACTTAAAGGTGCATGACTGGATGATAAATCCTTTTACAGCAAGTGTTGCGGAGGTTGATTTAACTTGCCAAAAAGAAATATTAGAACTTAAATATGACAAAGAGTAAATGTAATTTCGGCAGTGGTGGATACCAAAAACTCTGGCAAAATAAAAAGATGCCTGCGTTATATCCAAATATGTGGAAATTGATATTCAATTTATTGATACCTTTTCCTACCACATATCTTGTAGAATCAGGCTTTAGTGCGGTTAATCATATTATGAGCAAACAGAGAAACCGTCTGAATATCACCGAAAGAGGACACCTTCGTTTATTCCCTACGAAAATTGAGCCGGATTTCAAATATTTAGTCTCACAGCATTAGCCTCAAGGATCGCATTAATCACCAGTTAAAAGTAATTTCTATTTACTTTATTGTTTTCACATTTAACTTCATAATGTTAAAACACATTATAAAACATGCATAAAATATAAATAAGATAAATGTAAGTAAATTTTTTTTAAAAACCCTCCTTTCTAAAAAATATTTTGCACTTGCACTAAAAAAAAAAAAAAATTGAGTTACTGCAGCACTGGTGGGCGGTAAAGAAATGTTTCCATCAAGAAAGATTAATTAGTGGGCGGTAGGTATAAAAAGGTTGACTACCCCTGATCTACACTAAAACGGCTTCATTAAGCTAAACTTGTTTTGGTGACTAGAGTCCCTTTAAGCTTCCTGAAGTGTTTTTGACTAAAAACCATAGGAAGGGTAGATACTGGGCGGAACTACCACCTTCTATTAGTGTCAATCCCCCAGCCATCACCAGTGACGGCTGTAAGGAAATTGGTGGTCTGTGGATGACCTGCGGTCTTGTGGTATCCTACATACACCTCAATGCTGTACTCTTGCGCATGCATGGGAGTACAGCAGTGACATCGGCTCATGGCACTGAAGCGTCAGGGGCTAAAGAAGACCCGCCACAACATGACGGTGCCAACAAGGGACAGGTTTAGATAAGTAGAACGCAAATTCTGCAAAGTCCCCAGACGGTGGCAGTGCTGCTTTTAAGGGACAGCATAGTCACCAGAACAACTACTTAAAGCATTTTCATGCAAACACTACCTTTTCAGAGAAAAGGCAGTGTTTACATTGCCCTCTAGGAACACCTCCAAGGGGTCAAAGCAGGTGCTTCCTGGGGCAGTGCTGCACAGTGGGCAGCAGTGCCATTCAGCAACTCCACGCTCTGCATGGAGACACTACATTTTCCCCATCCCGCCTCCTTGCCGATTTCAGCCAAACCAGTGCTTTCCCTATGGGAAAGCATTGGATTGGCTGAAAATAAATAAATGTAAAAAGGGATGTTTTGATGTCAGAGGCGGAGCATTGGGCTGGAAATAAAGTGAGTTTTAACATTTTCTAAGGGGGGTGAGCAAGCCACCTAAATGGTGTATTAAACACTATAGTTCCAGGAATGCATGGTTCCTGATCCTATAGTGTTTCCTTAAATATATGAACATGTCAAACATTTAGCACTGTAATTTAACATTCCATACACTATTTTTTGCAATCTCTTTAAGGCAAAATTAGAAGTGTATGTGGTGGTGAACAGTGAAAGGAACATTAGATAGTTGAAAAGCTCTCTCTCTAAAAAAAAAAAAAAAGTATGGTGGACAAAAATTGTAATTGAAAACAGAAAATTTTACTTTTTACATATATTCTTTTTTTCTCTCAATATGGTGGCACTACATGTGGGTTTTGCCCCTTTCCTGTGGACAAGCATCTAACAAGATTAATTAAATCAACAAACCCCTCCCGTTTGCCCTATAAAAGGGCTATCTGGCAAAACTTACTTCAGTAAGTAACAAGAAAAACCACAGATAAAACTTATACTGTAATCAAGAAAATATAATATAGAGGGAGGGAAGCTGTACTGCCACCATATTAAGAAAAAAGAATTTACGTTAAGTAAAAATTTCTGTTTTTTCTGTCATATGGTGGCAGTACATGTGAGATATTGCAAGATCCCCAACCCGGGCGGGTCCAATGTCACACCAGGTCGCAACTGTAGCGGAGTAGTAGGGGGTTAATCCACGGTATCTCTCTGCTGGTAGTCAGGATAATCAGGTAAAACACAGGTAGCGTAGTAATAATCCCTTTCTCCCAAGAACTAGACGACACATAACTTGGAGGTCAACTAAGGTTTTTAATTACAGGCACAGTATTTATGTGGTTACAATTGTATGGGGTTTCCCAATTCACAATCCAGGGTTTGTCCCGTAGGGGACTACATGGGGCACTTAGTTTTACAGCCAGAGTACCCAGCATACATTGCTGTACCAAGGAGATAATTATCCCAGAATGCATTGCTAACGGGATTATCCCTTGATACAGAGAAATCTTTTTTTTATATTAAAATCCATAACCAACATAATATTTGAGCTAGACAGCTATTTAACCATTACATAGCTGGGACCTTGGCGCACAGTTATGGGAACTTGCACTCAGATCCCAGCACAAATAACCGAACATGGTTCAGTTTCCCTTATCAGGGCCAATTTGTTTAACCCATTGCCTGAACTGAGGGAAGGAAAGTCCCAAAAGCGTCAAACTCCCGAACGGCTCAGAAGTCCAGCGGGGCTTGTGTTGCAGAGTAGCCGATTTTAGTTTCAGGCACTCAACGACAAAACCCCGCTGACTTTCCGCGAACAAAGATGGCAGCCGCCTCGTGTTCGGTACACGAATGGTGGACACCCGCAACAGACTGCAATTAACAGAGATACAATGTTGCAAAGTACTTAATGGGAGACACGACCAGCTATGGGTGGTCTCCCATTCAGTACTTTGCTTATTCCACAAACAGTGCGATGATTCACTGCTCGTGGATAACCAGACTTAACATAAGCGGTATTTGTGTGCTGTAACACACGAATGCCGCATACATTGCACAATAAAATGAACAGTAGCAGGCAGATACAGTTGGCTTGAATATACGGTGTAAGTCTATAAGTGGCTAGGTTTGCCACAGCAACCTTTACACCCAAAGACTGTTTCAGAGGATGAGAATATCTCTAGCCTGTAGAGTTTAATGAAAATGTGGAAAGGCAACCCAAGACGGTGCCTCACAGATGTCCACTGGAAGAAACAAGAGCTCTTACTGCCCCTGAGGCAGCCAATACCCCAAATGTAAAGAGCCGTGAGAGAAACCGGAACTTGAAGACCACCGTGAGAAAACTGCCAACCTACTCACTCATCTGAGTCAATTGAAACAAAGAATTGCAGGAGGATAACAAACAGATGGCCAGAATACCTGAACTCTTCAGTCCTCGGAAGAGAGATATTACAATGCTCCTTTTAGATACAAGAAAAAACTATTTAAGCCCCCGAGGAGATGTGGCATAACCACCAAAAGGAAAGCAGAAACCAACGGTGACTCGTAGTACAAACCCGTAGAAAAAAAGAAAGGTTTAGGGTGAAGAACCACCGTGTCCACGAACAATACTGGAGGAAAAAACAAAAAAAACTAAAATACAAACACCCATATGGGGATGAAAATGACTGACGCTCACTGAACCTTCTAGCCGATGTGATTGCCCCCAAGAAGGTGGTCTAGAGGAACGAAACTTGTAAGGGAAACCTTTTCACAGGATCGAAAGAGTGCTACCAAGAGCCAGTAAAATTAAAGGATAAATCCCAGGAAGGAAAAACAGAACTCTAGGAGGATGTCTGGACCTGGCAGATTACAAAAAAAACCTTAAGCTTAACATATGGATGCAAAATCTTATTTCAGCAGGATTCTCAGGATTGAGGACTGAACCTCAAAGCAGAAAACACTGAAGCCTGCAGAAAAATATTCTGAAGACATTAAAGCATGGGTCTAAAAAAAAAAAAAAAACCTTTATTAGAAAGTAGACATTTAAAGCAGGAAATCTAGATTATCAAAGCAACACAACCAAAACTATCTTCTTGCAGACCTAGATGATGAAGTAACCTAGCAGTAGCCAGGCCATTAACCTGGACCTCTACAGAACCACTAAGGTAGATTCCTATTCATCATGAGATCGTTCGAGATTGGAAGTTACCACTGTGTGGAGACCATCTTCTTGAACGTCGGGAACCAGAACCTTGTATGGCCAGAATGGAATAAGAACCAGGATAAGGCTCCGACAGCGCTAATTGTCGAAGACAACTTGGAAATAGCGGAAGACGCACGCATGTCAGCCTGACATTACATTACAATGAGTTTTTGTAATGCTTGCCAACAGGGCCATGTCTGGAACACCAAATTTCCTCTCCAGACTCTAATCTCCTGTTTCAATTTATCGGAATTTGCTCAGTATATTCTTAGGCTCTAAATTATGTTAAGATTTTCTTCAAGTGAGACCCAAACAGCTTCTGCTTACCCAAGGGAAGCTCACAAAGGACCAATTTTGATGCGGTATCATCATCTATGATCTCAACCATAAACCAAACATCCACAGTCATAAAGAGAAAAAGGGATTTTTCTTGACAACTGCAAATTATGAAACGATTGGAGCAGAGATTAATCCTGTCTCCAGGAATTATGTTCTGCAGTTCGTTGAGCAAAAAAAACAAAAACAAACAAAAAAAACAAAAACAAACAAAACCCCCCCCCCACTAATATCTCCGGTTATGGCAGCTCCTGCTAGTAAAGTAACTGATAGGTTTGCCCTGAAATCACATACCTTGTGGGTGTCTCTTAACCGTTCATAATGCCCAGAGATATCAGTCACATATACTGAATCTGTTCAAACAGAAAGCATACCTAGACAACATATGCTATATACCAAGGTTACGCAATTCCTGTGGATACATATACCGAGGCAGCGTCCTCACAGACACTCATATATAGAGCCTAATAAGGATACATAAACTGAGGCAGTAACCTCCTCGTAACTCATCCATAGAGCATCTAGTAAAGACATATACTGAGGCCCTGTCTTCCCAGTACCTCATACATAAAGCATATAGAGGATACATATACAGGAGGTTATGTTCTTATAGTAACTATAACTTGGGCATTATACTGAGGCTGTGTTCTCAGAACTCATACATAAAGTATATAAAAGGTACATCTACCGAAAACTGAACCCTCATAGACACTCACATATAGCGCATATAGTAGCTACATCTACTGAAGCAAAGTCCTCACATCAACTCGTCATAGAGCATACAGTGGATACATATACAGAGGCTGTGTCCTCATAATTAAACTCATACATTGAGCATATCGTGGGTACAAATAATGTGGCAGAGTCCTCCTAGTAACTCATACATAACGCCTATAGTGGCTACATATACTGAAGCCAAGTCCTCACAAACTCGACAGAGTATATAGTGGATACATATACAGAGGCTGAGTCCTCATAATACTCATAGCAAATAGTGGATACATATACTGAGGCTGAGTCCTCACAGTAACTCCTAAATAGAGCATATACGGAGGCTGAGTCCTCATAGAAACGCATACATAGCGCTTATAATGAAGTGGATACATATCAAGGCGTCATAGAACATATAGTGGATACATCGATAGAGGTTTTGTCCTCATAAAAACTCATACAAAGAGCCTATAGGCTGAGCCCTCATAGAAACTCATGCACAGAGCATAGAGTGGATACATATACTGAAGCTGAGTCTTCCCAGCCACCCATCATAGAGCATAGAGTGGGTACATATACTGCTCACAGCAACTCGTCATAGAGCATATATAGTGGGTACATAAACTGCTCCCAGTAACTCGTCAGAGCATATATAGTGGGTACATAAACTGCTCCCAGTAACTAGTCAGAGCATATATAGTGGGTACATAAACTGCTCCCAGTAACTCGTCAGAGCATATATAGTGGGTACATAAACTGCTCCCAGTAACTCGTCAGAGCATATATAGTGGGTACATAAACTGCTCCCAGTAACTCGTCCTAGAGCATATAGTGGGTACATATACTGTTTCCAGTAACTTGTCATAGAGCATATAATAGGTACATATACTGCTCCCAGTAACTTGTCAGAGCATATAGTGGGTACATATACTGCTCCCAGTAACTTGTCATAGAGCATATAGTGGGCACATATACTGCTCACAGTAACTCGTCAGAGCATATAGTGGGTATATACACTGCTCACAGAAACTCATACATAGAGCATATAGTGGACACACACTGTGTCTTTGCAGGAGATATCAGCACTATGTCCATAGGGTTTAAATGCCGAAACTTTCACTATAGGGAAAGTGGTCCAAAACATTACCCTGAAATAAAAGCTTGTTAACACTCTTCGTCCTCTTCTTTTCCTCGTAGCTTCATACTCCTTGTAAATTAAGTGTATAAACATTTACAGAGATCATTTTGAAGGAAAGATGAATTAATTAATCTTACCTCAAAATGCCTGAGCCCTGTGTGGGGCTGGTGACATGGCGTACCACTTCTGGCAAGCATCCATGCGGTCAGTGGGTACTGCTCAGATTCATCTACGCAGAGCATCAAATTTTGCGGCTTTTTTTAAAATAAAGTTTTGGTATGCGCGCCACCGGAACGCATTACCTCCCGGGCGTGCGTTCCACCACTGTGCGCAGGCTTTCATCAGTTGTACCTGTGCCTCAAGACCGCCTCCAGGAAGTACTCGCCGGAACACTCTCGGCATAAAAGGCAACGTATCCACTTGCTCCGTAACCATAACGGAAGGAGCATGGTCTCTCAGCTAACCGCCCGGGCAGCTCTCGGACCGGATTCCCCCCAGACCAGCAGCCTGTGTCTCTCACCCTCCAGATGCTGTGTCCTTCCCTCTCGGGACAAGAAAGGAAAAACTGAGGTAGGTTTTGCCGGATAACCCCTTTTATAGGGCAAGGGGGAGGGGTTTGTTAATTTAATTAATCTTGTTAGATGCTTGTCCACAGGAAAGGGGCAAAACCCACATGTACTGCCACCATATGTCAGAAAGAAATCCCTTCCACCTGAAGTCTGTGGATAGTTAATACAATGTTAAACAAAAGTCTAATTTGCACATGCCCAACCAGAATCCTTTGTGGTAGAAGTATCACTGCAAATTTGTGATTCCTGTGGGAAAAGCAAGTCTTATGGCTTGACTAGTGTGCAGATTTTTTGTTTAACATTGCATTAAATATCTACACACACACACAAAATTTATATTTTTTCCTCACCAGTTTTTATTTTACCAAGCCTTCCCATCTCTAGACTTAACAACCTGACTACACATGAGGAGCTATGGGCAACTAAAATTAGACTTTGTAAATCCCTGTAGCGGTCTCACAAGTGTTAGACATTCAGAGTATTAAAAGAAAACTTGCCTTTTTACTCATGTACAATGTAAGCTCCCTAGATATGAGGACCATAACAATACCTGAAATCTTTCCACCAAAAATGTATGCAAAATAAGTCTTCCCCAACAACCTAAGCCCCTTCCTCTCTGCCAGACATAGTAAAAAGAAAGTTGAGGGGTTTACTGAAACAAATTTAAGTGGTTTGAGAAAACTCAAGAGACTACATCAATAGTTTCAGACTGTAGTGATTATGGTGTTTGGAGTGATCATTTTTTTAAACCAAAGTTGTTTTGTTGCTTGTGTGCCTTTAATTTAAGTGATTTAAAGTAAACCAGACGTAAGTTAACTTTTAAAGGGGCACATAACTAAATTATTCTTACCTAAGTCCAGATCTTCTCAGGTTCTGCATTAGTATACCAATTCTGTATTTCTTTAGACAGAACTCAACACTAGCACCCAGAATAAAAATAAAATTCTAATAGGGACAATCTATAACCACAAAAGTAGGATTTGTTTATTTTTTTTTTTTTTAGTTAGATCTGTGTTATAGGATGCTGTGAGTTGTCTAGACTGCCCATTTAAGAAATAACAGCTCCTAAACCGATTACTATTTAAATGATTACTTCAATGATTTTGGACATTGATATCGGATAGCCATGTTGCCCTTCTCTTTCCCTGATAGCTAGGAGGATCAGGCTGAGGGGAGAACTTGGCCTCTGTGTTGGAGCAGGAGAAGTTTGTCTTTTGGGGAGTTAAGGGAAAGAGAGGATAGGAAGGGTTACTCTAACCAAACCAATGTTTTCTTAGAACCTTTTACTTTCTTGCCTCCTGCCTCAACCAATTCCTACTAGATTAATTTACATGGGAATGTTTTTCAAAGCAGGGGTATATTTTTCCCCAGAATTGTGTGATATACCTCCTACCTCTGTCTCCAAGCCCCTAGTGCTGCCACTCTACCCCTGGTACCAGCATCAGATCTGAACACCATAATATGCAATCAATACTTACCAAAAGGATCCACAGAGAAAGCCGACATGACACTTAGAATTATACAGAGCAGCTGTAAACCCGCGATATTTAAACTTCCTGAGAACGTGGAGAACTAACTCGCCGCAACCTCGCTGGAGCTTCACTTCCTGTGACGTCACACGCGGCGTTCTTAGCGAGCAGAGTGAGCCGACTGGTTCATTTTCTAAACTACAGCTGCCAAGGCATCACGGGAGCTCGAGTGACAGCAAGCAAAGCATGTAGGGAGATGTAGTTCTACCGTAGAACTTCAGTATGATGAACGTTCTAAGGCGGAAGAGATCTGTCCCTGGAGACACCCAACCGCAGGTTACTGGATCCTGCACCAGCACAGAGCGGGGACAGGTCATTAAGCTAACTCTCCTAGATCCTGGTCTGATAGCCGTTGCACATGGAAGGTGCAGCCTGCCTGCTGAGATATATGGGGATTGGGGTGGTTGGAATGCTTTGTTATATAGAACGTCATTTATTTGTACTTGCCACCCTGGTTACAAGTTACAAGCCGACCTCTGCAGCATGTTGTACTTACTGTGAGTGCACTCCCTGCGTACAGCAAATGTACGTTATAAGGGCATGCCGTGTGGTGGTGATGGCAGCTGGAGATGTTTCTGTGCTCATTTTTCTAAAGCCGAGGTGTTTAAAAATATTTGTAATTGCGGTCATAGTGCTCTGCACGTAACATATACTGACTATTTTTAATTTGGGCATGTGGTGTGCCCTGACCGCCGTATAGGTAATCCTACAGACAATCACCCAGGAGTATGTATGGCAACAAAATAGCAAACTAAAGGGATGCAATTTTGATAAGGCTGCAAATACCCCCGGGTTTAGCTGAAAAGGGCTAGGTGTATAGGATGGGAAAACATCATACTGTTAATGGACCCACGTACATCTCAACATTTTAAAAGGACAAAGAGGGTGAATTTAAATTTAGGGGTGTGACCAAGGGCAAAGCTGTTTACAAACACATTACTGGGAGTATAAGTGCTGTGGAACTCTGTTATACATTTAGACACTGCAACAATATGGAGCTCCTTGAAAAGAGGGACAAAGGGATTTCTCCGCCTACAGCGATGTTGGCATCCCAGTTAACATCACCTATGATATCCTCCAATTCATTGGTTCTCTATGAGAATATGCATGCGCCAACAAAGCTGCACTCTTCATGCGCAGACAAACGCTGCTGCTAATACCAGCATTTGTCCCTGACTGAGTTTTACTCGTTCTGGTAGTGGAACCACCTGTATTGCATGTCATAAGACAGTCACTAGAGGCGGATTTAACCCGGACATGTAAGCATTGCAGTCTCTAAAAAAAGTAACAAGTAAAAGTTGAGACAAAGTGGTCTGGGTTACTAGAATTGGAAGAATTGGGCAGGAAAACTGACCCTAAAAAGTGGAGACAGAGGAAAAAAGAGAGAGATATGGTGCACAAGTAGGAGATCTCTACTGGTAAAGAAAAGCCCCCATAAAAGCTAAAAAGAAGATAAATGGATAATAGTAGAAATATAAATTCTACAAGTACCAGGAGATCTCTTACTAATAAATGCAAATGGAGAAACTAGAGAGATCTATATTATCTCAAATAATAAAAAATGCGCTAGAATAGCTATGAATAATAGACCTAAAAGTATACAAAATGGGTTAAAATATGTACACATACACTAGATGGCAGCCTAACATAAAAGAACTGCAGTACAAGGGGCTCATAAACTAAGCAGTGGCAAAATTTGGAACAAACAAAATATATACAGATGATTTAGGATGGCTCCAATAAAAATCTTTGAAAAGAAAGGAAAGAAAAAATGCATAAAAGAATTAATCTAAATCTGTTAGTCCAAATCAATAAATCGATGAGATAATGTCCAGTAAGTGCTTGTAATAAGCAAAGTCCTTAAAGGACCACTATAGTGTCAGGAAAACATACTTGTTTTCCTGGCCCTATAGTGCCCTGAGGGTGCCCCCACCGTCCGTGTCCCCCTCCCGCCCGGCTCTGGGGAGAGGAAAGGGGTTAAAGCTTACCTTTTTCCAGCGCTGGGTGGGGAGCTCTCCTCTCCACCCCTTCGGCTGAATGCGCACACGCGGCAGGAGCTGCGCGCGCATTCAGCCAGTCTCATAGGAAAGCATTTACAATGCTTTGCTATGGACGCTTGCGTGCTCTCACTGTGATTTTCACAGTGAGAATCACGCAAACGCCTCTAGCGGCTGTCAATGAGACAGCCACTAGAGGAATTGGAGGAAGGATTGACCCATTTATAAACATAGCAGTTTCTCTGAAACTCTGATGTTTATAAAAAAATGGGTTAACCCTAGAGGGACCTGGCACCCAGACCACTTCATTAAGCTGAAGTGGTCTGGGTGCCTAGAGTGGTCCTTTAAAAGCAACAATATCACATCTTGTACTATATACTTCTGCCAAATAAAATAACAGTAGCAAAAAAAGTAACAAGTTGTGGATATACTTTATCCAATACTGGTAAGATGAATAACAGCAACAAATAGATAATTACTAATATACCACCTATGCAGGTATATAGTATAAAGATCTTCAATGATCAATAGTAATATAGAGAAAGTCTAGGAGGATTATATTAAAATTCCATATTTATTGAAAATGCAGTTAAAATAGGATAAGATACACTTACAATTTGGAAGTGTAAAAGCCCCAGCAAATGAGTCCTTATTAGGAATGGTAGTCGGAAGATGTACTGCACTCTGAGGGAAGCTTGCTCCGGCCGGTGAGCTGATGTTCTTGTGTTCGGAGAGGTAAGCCACCTCTCGCGTGTGTTCCACTCAGTGCGCCTGATATGCGTTCCACGGTTGCTCGGTAGCTGCGTCAGAATACGGCAGTTGCCAAAAAAAAATCTTTACGCGTTTCGTGACCATACACCGTCACTTCTTCAGAGGCGAATGGACTTCTCATGTTGCTGTCTCTCTCTTTCTTAGGATCTTTTCTCTGTTTTTCCCATCTGATCTAGTTTTCATTAAATCATAAGACAAAGTAGGGACTACTTTGTCTTATGTATTTTTCCCACGCCTGTCCAGCTATGACCAGCGTGGGAGCAAAGTGTGCTCCATTTCCTGTGGTCAGAGCAATTTCCTACAATTCTCATCTTTCCTCTGGGATCTCGCGATGCTTCCTGTCAGTATTCCCTAAATTGGTCTTTCAGACAACTTTAAGATTACTTGGTATTAGTGATTAATCTGCCCCTACTTACTATATCGCGAGTAGGGGCATGTCTAGTAAACAGTCACTGTTGTAAAAAAATACATCCCCCCCCAACAATAAATGGCCCGTGGTGGGGCATCTATTAACTAGCAGGGGGGACATAGTGTCTCCCCCGAGCCCCCACCCATGCCCCGTGAGTGAGGGGTATTCAACTGTACGGGGACATAGGGTCCCCTCCGCCCCCACCTATGAGCAGAGGGTGGGGGCCCTAAATGAAAATGGGGGGAACCTATTATCCTTACCCCGGCCCCCACCCATGAGCGGCGGGTGGGGGCCCTAAATGACAATGGGGGGGACCTATTGTCCTCCCCACCGGCCCCCACCCATGAGCGGCGAGTAGGAGCCCTAAATGAAAATGGGGGGACCTCTTGTCCTCCCCACCGGCCCCCACCCATGAGCGGCGAGTAGGAGCCCTAAATGAAAATGGGGGGACCTCTTGTCCTCCCCTTGTCCACCCGCCGCTCATGGGTGGGGGCCCTAAATAAAAATAAAGGGGGACCCATTGTCCTCTCCATGGCCCCCAGCCATGATCCATGCTTATGGGTGGTGGCCAACGGGGACACTATGTCCCCCGTTTATTTGCATAGCCCCCTCTCACGGGGCACGAGTGGGGGCTAGGGTGGACACTATGTCCCCTCCGCTAGTTAATAGATGCTCCACCATGGGGCCACTTGTTGACCCCCATAGAGTGACGCATATTATTATTACTGCCATTTATATAGTGCCAACAGATTCCGTAGCGCTTTACAATGTTATGAGAGGGGGATTTAACTACAAATAGGACAATTACAAAAAACTTACAGGAACTATAGGTTGGAGAGGACCCTGCTCAAACGAGCTTACATTCTATAGGAGGTGGGGTGTAAAACACAATAGGACAGGAATTTGCAGTCAAATAAGGTGGGCTGCTCTTTAGGAGAGAGCAAGAGACAGGTATGTGAGGTAGAGGTTAATCTGGGAGGCCATAAGCTTTCCTAAAGAGATGGGTTTTAAGGCACTTCTTAAAGGATGCAAGACTAGGTGAGAGTCTGATGGTCGTAGACAGGCTATTCCATAGGAAGGGAGCCGCTCGCGAGAAGTCCTGTAAGCGTGAGTTGGCCGTACAGGTGCGGACAACGGACAGGAGGTGGTCATGGGCAGAGCGGAGAGACCGACAAGGGACATACCTATGAATCTGTGAAGAGATATAGGAGGGGCTAGAGTTGTTCAGTGCTTTATAGGTGTGACTTAGTACCTTGAATTGACTCCTATAGCATACAGGAAGCCAAGATAAGGCCTGACAGAGGGGTGAGGTGTGAGAGAACCGACTAGAGAGGAAAATCAGTCTAGCAGCAGTGTTCATTATGGATTGTAGCGGTACAATACAGCTTTTGGGAAGACCAATCAGGAGAGGGTTACAATAATCCATGCGGGAAATTACTAGAGCATGGACAAGCTCCTTGGTAGCATCTTGCGTAACAAACGGGCGGATGCGTGCTATGTTTTTAAGACGGAATCTACAGGATTTGTCAACATATTGGATGTGAGGCTCAAAGGTGAGGCCAGAATCAAGTATGACACCAAGACAGCGCGCTTGCAAGGATGGACTGATGTGGGCACCACAAACTTGAAGGGAGAGTGAAAGAGGAGGATCCGTATTAGGAGGAGGAAAGACAAGGAGCTCAGTTTTAGAGAGATTGAGTTTCAGAAAGATGGAGGATATCTATATTGACCCCCATAGAGTGAGGGAGGACATGGGGGGCTTAGGAAGTAGTGGGGAGTACTGCTACCCGCCGCTTCTAATTTTACAAGGAGGGAGCTGCGCGCCGGTAGCTCCCTCCTTGTATTAAACTGAGTGAACAAACACCGATATTCGATGTTTGTCGTCTGAAATTTCTATTCATTCCTTCGTCTTTCTGACGAATGAATGGACTAAATTCCCGTAGCGAATGCCCAAGTGTTTAACTGTGCATGCGTGGGAATTTCATAGCGCTATCTAGTGTGGGCAGATGACGTGTCCCACAGTTACTTTATCTACCCACACAAAGATGGCGGCGTCCAGGACCTAGGTCCGGGCAGAAAGTAAAGATGGAAAAAATAGTTAATATGGGGGGCTTAGGGGAATTTGGGGGTGACTAGGGGGACAATTAGATGTAGTGGAGTCGGGAAGGCGGTTAAAAAAAAACTGGATTTGGCCATGACAGTTCCGCTTTAACTGCCTGCTGGTTGTATTTATTCTGTCAAACAAACAAAAACACTGTTATGGTGGTCTTGAGTAAACTATTTCAGTTAGGGAGTGACTATTCTTAAATCTGACTCCAAAGTTTGGCAGGTCTGGCATTGTTCATACTACATTATTATACATGATGTCAGCACATCTTGAATGTTAACCCCATTCAATACCAAAATCGAGTATAATTGTTTTTATATAATTTGCAGTATGGAATTGAATCTCATTTATAGGCACTCCAGTGGTCTCTGCTCTCCTCTGCCCCTCCTTTACATCAGTGGTCTCTCCTCTCCCCCCCCTCTTTCCCAGACCACTTCTGCCCATTGGAGTGGTCTGGATGCCAACTCCCACTAGTTTTCATAAACTGCAATAATTATATTGCAGAGTTAACTCCTCCCCTAGTGCAGAGTTAACTCCTCCCCTAGCTTTCCTATGGAGAGGTCCAATGCAGCGGGCGTGATCGGTCTCCCCCCGCCGGGTGACGTGGTGCTGGGGAGGAGCGTGGGCAGACCCCTTCAGCAAGCGGGGATGGGAGGTGGGAGGGAAAGGGGACCTGCAGTGCCAGGAAAACAGTTTGTCTTCCTGGCACTGGAGAGTCCCTTTAAGACTTCCAGCCTGTGGAGGAACACATTTCTCTGCAACTAGTCACTAATATAATACCTGTAAAGTTGCTGAAACTGTATGCTCTCCCCCTGCTTTCAACCAATACAGGGAGTTTCAATGGGTGATATCATTCATGCAGTAAGGGAGGGAGAGGAGTGAATGGACTCTACCATTTCACTGTCAGCATTATGTTAGCAATCCTAAAATTAATAAAGATTGCTATAGCAGGTTGAAATACTTAATTAAATTAATAATTTAGAAACATGATTTTATTTTATTTACTGTATGTGGGCAATATGCTAAAATGCAGACATTTTTTACATTCTGTTTCAATTTCTAGTGAGCTGTACTGCTAGTAAATAAATGGCACAGGCCTAACATCAGCTCAATCGAGTGGAATCATATTTAACCCTACTACAAATGATTGAGAATCGCCACAGTCCCAAAGTGCTCAACTAATCATCCAAAAGACAATTAGGCATCACTGGACAAAAATAAAAACTACAACGTTGTTCTATCTATACATGATTGAGGACTTTTTGGTAGAAACATCATAGTTTTTATGTATGTTCAGTGCCATATGTAGCTTCAATAAAGAACAACCTTTTAATTTTATACTTCCACTGTCATTCTCAATCCTCTTTTGGAAGATCAATTGTGTACGCAGAGAAGTAGCTCTGCTGAGATCTGGAACTCCACAGATTGTGTTTGGGTGAAATCACAGCTTCTGAGTGCAGCATTTGTCTGTGTTCCTAAGTGCTTAACTGTCTGTTGGCTGTACACTAATCAGCCAGAACATTAAAACCATCTGTCTAATATCGTGTAGGTCCCCCTCATGTATCCAAAACAGCCCTGATGCATAGAAGTATGGATCTACACAAAACCTCTGAAAGTGTCATGAGGTCAGGGACGTGTCTTCCGCGAGGCAAACAACGCATCTGCCTTGGGCGGCACACTGCAGGGGGGCGGCAAAAAAAGCCGCCCCCCGAAGGCCCAGGCAGATCCCTTGCTTCCCTCGTGAGCTGGCCGGCTGACCACTTTTAAGCCCCCCCGAGGCTGGCGGTGGGCAGCGAGGGAGCATACTCACCTGAGCTCTTCCTGCTCAGCTTCCTCCGTGCCGCTTAATAAAGCCGGGAGCCGGAATATGACGTCAGACTGGCTCCCAGCATCACTAAGCGGCGCGCGCGGGAGCTGAGCAGGAAGATTAGAGCTCCCTCACCGCCTACTCAGCCTGTCTGCCCCCTGCCTCCCCGACCAGCAGCCCTACTGGACAGGTAAGTAATCCATTCCAGCTCTCCCAGGGAGGCTGGGTGGATTTAAAATAAAAATTAAAAAATTTATGAGTGTTGGGAGAAATGTGTATCTGTCTGTAAGTGTGTGTGTGTCTGTAAGTCAATGTATGTGTGTATGTGTCTGTAAGTGTGTGTGTATGTGTCTGTGTAAGTGTGTGTGTGTCAGTCAGTGAGTGCGTGCATCTGTCAGTGCGTGTATGCGTCTGTCAGTGTGTATCCAAGTAATAGTGTGTGTGTATGTCATTGTTTGTCAGTGTATATGAGAGTGTGTCAGTCAATGAGCGCATGCGTCTGTCAGTGAGTGAGTGTCTGTCAGTCAAAGTGTGGCCTTGACAGGAAGGGGTGAGGAAAATTTAAATTGGGGGGGAGGGGAGGAGTGCCTGAGCACCGTTTTTCCTAGGGCAGCACAAATCCTAAATACAGCACTGCATGTGGTATCTGGCACCAAGACATTAGCATCAGATACTTTGTCAGGAGTGCCCAAGATGTAGATCCACAGATGTTGCAGAACTAGAACTCCCATTGTGCTTCGCATGCATTTCGAATGGCAGAGCATGATGGAAGCTGTAGTTTTAATACATCTGGGGATCTACCTTTTGGGCACCCCTGCTTTAAGTTCGGCAAGTTGCAAGGTGGGTCGTCAGTGGATCAGATTTGTTGTTACTGCTCAGTTAGATTGAGTCCTGGGGAATTTGGAGGCCAAGGCAACACCTTGAACTGTTTTTCATGTTCCTCAATCCCTTCTTTAACAATTTTTGCAGTGTGACAGGGTGCATTATCCACTACCTTCAGGGAACACTAGGTAAGCAGTACGTGTCAAAGTAACATCCCCATGAATGCTAGGATCCAAGATTTCCCAGCAGAACATTGATGTCAGCACATGTCAGCTTATTTTGCATGTTAACCTCTTCACTACCAAAATCGAGTATAATTATTTTTTTTTCCATATAGTTTGCAGTATGGGATCTAGTCTCATTTATACTCTAATTAAGACTTCCAGCCGGTAGAGGAACACATTTCTCTGCCACAAGTCACTGATATGATGCCTGTATAGTTGCTGAAAACAAAAAAAATGCTCTCCCCCTGCTTTCAACCAATACTGGGAGTTTCAATAGGTGATATCATTCATGCAGTAAGCAGGGCCGGCGCTTCCTATAAGGCGAACTAGGCGGCCGCCTAGGGCGCCATATAGGAGTGGGCGCCCTGCGCCCCCATCGCCGGCCCTTTAAATGCTGCAGACGCCTGAGCACTCTGTAGACAGCGCTCAGGCGGCTGCCTCTCTCCTCACCTCCCCTTCTCTGTAGCGTGGCCGAGCTCCTCTCCGGCCCGCGACACTGAGTGTGCACTTCCTGTCAGTCCGGCCGGGTACAGGAAACAGAAGCTCCTGTACCACGGACCGGAGAAGAGCTCGGCCACGCTACAGGGAAGGGGAGGTGAGGAAAACAGGGGCGGGGGGAGAAGAAGAGATTACAGGGGGGAGGAGAAGAGATTACAGGGAGGGGGGGGAAAGAGAAGATTAGGGGGAGAAGATTACAGGGAGGGGGGAGAAGAAGAGAAGATTACGGGAGAAGAAGAGATTACAGGGAGGGAAGGGGGGAGAAGAAGAGATTACAGGGGGAAGAAGATTACAGGGGAGAAAGAAGAAGAGAAGATTACAGGGGGAGAAGAAGAGATTACGGGGAGAGAGACACGGGGGAGAAGAAGAGATTACAGGGGAGAAGAAGAGAAGATTATGGGGAGAAGAAGAGACACGGGAGAAGAAGAGACACGGGGTGGAGAAGAGAGAGAATTACAGGGGAGAAGAGGAGGAGAACCGGGGATGAGAACACAGGAGGGGGGCTGAGGAGAATGGGGAGGGAGACCACCAGGAGGGAGGGGGTGGTGGAGAGACCACTAGGAGGGGTGAGGAGAGACCGCTAAGGGAGGGTGGAAGGAGAGCAGAGAACACTAAGGGGGGTGGAGGATAGATCACTAGGGGAGGGTGGGGGGAGAGTAGAGACCACTAATGGAAAGGGGGCGTGAGAAGAGACCACTTAGGGTGCGGGGGAGACCACTAATGGAAAGGGGGGGAAAGACCACTGATGGAAAGGAGGGGCAGAGGAGAGCAGAGACCACTAAGGGGGAGACGAGAGACCACTAAAGGAAAGTCGGGGAGAAAAGGAGACCACTAAGGGAGGTGGGGGGGAGGAGAGTAGAGACCACTAAGGGACAGGGGAGGAGAGACCACTAAGGGGCAGGGGAGATCTCTAAGGGACGGGGGGGGAGAGCTCTATAAGACAGGGGGCAGGACAGGGAGCTCTTTCACACTACGCACACACACACACACACACAATGCATCCCTATACATACTCAGAAACACACAATGCATCCCTACACACACAGAAACAAAACATGCTTCCCTTACACACAGAGAAACACACAATGCATCTATTACACACACACAATGCAACCCTTACACATAAAGACAATGCATCCTTTGCACACATACACAGAAACACACAATGCATCCCTTACACACACATGTAAACACACATTGCTTCTCTTACACACACACAGAAACACAATGCATCTCTTACACACACACTGCATCCCTTACATACACAGAAACACACTTTGCATCCCTTACACACGAGAAACACACAATACATCCCTTATACACAAACACACACTGCTTTCTGTTCCTTACACAAAAACACACTGCTTCCACTACACACAAACACACTGCATCACCTACACAAACTGGTATCCCTATACACTACATTCCATAAGCACACACATTAGATCCTCTACCATAACACATCCCCTACACACTCCAGTTCCTGTGAGCGAACATATAGGTGGACTTATGGGTGAGCCTTATGGGCATACTCACCGTCAGGCCCTGGGGCCCAGACCTTGAGCTGGGCAAGGGGCCCCCAAAAAATGGAGCTGCTTCCCGTTCTCCCAGAACATTGAATTTTGTGACCACAGTTACAAACAGTCTCCAGAGAGCCTGTTCTACACCAGACCAGTGGAGCCAGACTGCAGCCAGAGACCATCACCATTCTCATCTGGTTGTAAGTAGGCAATCTAGTATATTATTAGTGCCACTAATCTCTAATTTACCTCACATTAAAGGGACACTATAGTCCCCTCAACCACTGCAGCTGAATGAAGTGGTTCTGGTGTCTATAGTTTGTCCCTGCAGGCTTTTTAATGTAAACACACACTGTGTGCAGCACTGGTGTTAGTTCATATGGCAGATCATATGGCTGGATCATTATGATGTCACATGGTGGGGGGGTTGGGCTGCAAATGTTTATTTTTCCTAGGGCGGCAAAAATCCTTGCACCGGCCCTGGCAGTAAGGGAGGGCACAACACTGCCTCCTCCAGCCTGCCTTCATCACATAGTGTATCCTGCTGCCATTTCTTCCCCAGGAAAATGATGCACATGCACCCAGCTATCCACCTGATCCAAAACAATACATGATTCATCAGACCAGGCTAAGGGACAGATGATTGTTATTATGTCCTCTTATGTAAAACCATAGAATTCAGTACTTTATTTTTCTTATGACTGTATTTATATAGGCTGAATAAAATACATGTATCCATCAAGTTCAGCTTTTCTCACACCTGTTTTTACTGTTGTCAACTTGTCAAAAGAAGGTAAAAAAACAAACAAACAAATAAATTGCTTTTTGACCTCAGAATGGCAGTCCGATCTCTCCTTGGATCAAGACGCTGTTACCCCACATATTAAAACATTTAAAATGATATCCCTGACTATTACGTTTTTGCAAGTATTCATCCAGTTTCTGTTTAACCCCCTAAGGACCAAACTTCTGGAATAAAAGGGAATCATGACATGTCACACATGTCATGTGTCCTTAAGGGGTTAAATAACTGACAGACTCTAATAAAACCACCAGATAATTCCACATCCTTTTTGTTCTTACTGTAAAGAACCCCTTCCTATACCTAAGAGTAAATCTTTTTTTATTCCAAACTAAATAGATGAACTCGTGGCCTATATTCAGTTATGTTTATGAATAGATTTCCAGAAAATGGTTTGTACTGGGCCCAAATATATTTGTATAATGCTATCATATTCCCCCTTAGACTCAGTTTTTCTAAACTAAACATTTAAATGTGTTAACCTTTCTTCATAACTAAAATCTTCCATTACTCTTATTAATTTTGTTGCCTGACTTTGCACTTTTTGCACAGTCCAAGAAGTTGGGACAATGCTTCATCTCTGTATTTGTCTGTATCCATAACTACAATGGCATCATTCTTCAGAGTGTTCAAAGCACTTCATTCATCCTTGGTCAAATTAGAGTGTCCCCTCCGAGACCATTTAACCCCTTCCTGACCGTGGACATACTAGGTATGTCTGACAAAAACGGTCATAAGGACCTCGGACGTACCTAGTACGTCCTCTGTATCCCTTAATACTTACCCGATCGCCGCCATTCCCCCGCCGAAGATTGCAACTAAAATGTAATTTAGAAAAGTTTAATTTAGAAAAATAACAATGTATCATATTTATATATAGGTTGATTTCTAAACACATTTATTTAGCTTTAAAGACAGATTACTGTGAGTATTACAGTAGTGATGTGGCGTTCTATTATAAATGAAAATACACTAACAATGTGGAACTCCTGCAAAAAAGAGGGGCATTTGTATAAACGAGAGGAACAGATGGATTTGGACTCAGAATAGGAACTGTCCCTTCTAAAAAAGGACAATTGGAAAGTATCTACATTGCTAAAATAAAAGGTATTTAAAAATGCTTCAGCAGTCTTTATCAATCTCTAAATTGCCAATGTAATCCCAATTAGTGAAATGGTTGAGTTCATTTACTCCTTCCTCCTCCCTGTCTATAGGAATATAATGACCCACTGAATCTTCATTTACTGTTTGTAAGCAATGAGTGCGCTGACACTTTCAGTACACTTGCGAGTACTAAGCATTAACCAGTGGCTTCTGGCTAAGAAATTAATTTCTCTACAGGCTGGTAATAATTTTTAGAATAAAACTGAGGGTGAGTGAGACATTATGGACTAAATATCATTCTGCGAACATTCTGCATAAATTCTGCATTCATGAAAGTTAAAATGTTATACTCGATTTTGGGAGTGAATTGGTTCATTTGAAAGTGGAATGTTGGCCACAACCCCATGTTTTTTTTTGAAGATTGTAGATACTGTGTCTTTTATGCTTTTAATAAAACTGCATTGACATTTTGATATTTTGTGTGCCATTTTTATATATATTTTTAAATATGGCAATTAGATTCTGCCATTACCTTCAAAGCGACTGTTCCTCTTTAATTTTGTTTTATAAAGCATGTTTTTTTTCTTCTTAAATGTGCATTTTTCAATAATGGCACAGTAAAAAGATAAAAGGTAAAAGCACACACATAAACCCCAGGACAAATTGTTACCTGTAATATATACAGTCAATAATGATCCATATTTCCTTATACCATTATTACTCCAATGACTCTATTGTCATATGTGTTTGCATTGCAGAACTGTTTTGGGATTGTTTTTTTCTGGGATCTGACTATGAATGAAGACACTAAAGTGTTTATACTGTGTTCTAATCTGGAATATTCTTATGTTTTCCTTGAGCAGAATATGCTTCGTATTTAATATGACCATTCAGTGTTCAAGTTTTATACCACCTCTGTCTTTAATTTATCCTTAATATGTAAAATTGGCCTTAGAAAAGAACACATTGCCAACTGTTAGAAGTAGCAAGGGCATTCTGTTTTAAAATTAAGTCCTTAAAACTTTGAGTTAGTTCCATAGCTTTATATACCCCTTCTATATTTCTGGAGTATATGAACACCGGCCTTAACAACAAAAACTCTATGCGCATGTTGACAGGTGTAATATTGCTTTGAAATATAAGCTTTTATGTCAGTTTTTCATTGACTTGGATGATTTTTTTAGACAACAGATTGCTAGCACTTCTGTAAGTCACATCCAGCCTTTTGGCTCCCTCTAGTGCTAAAACTATATAATGAGCATTTGTAGCAGACCCATCATATCAGGTTCAACTAAACAGATAAAGCAGCAAATATATAATTCAGCATACAGATATAAATTATATATTTAATTGATCTTGGAGCTTTTAGTATCCTAATTACCTTCTTTCCAGTATTAGATTACTATGTTTGGAGGTCCATGTAACACCCACTTTCCAGTCATGTCTCTCTATAAAGAAACTTGTCCTATTTTGGGAAAGTTCCCCAACCAGAGAAATCCTTCCCCTTGATGATGACATGTTTGCTTCAGCACATCTGTCAGTATGACGTGACCTCCTGTAGGAGGTTTCCTCTATTCTCTTCTGACACTCATTTGCCAACATAGACCTCTGAAGGTGTTGCAAAAATTAGAAAAAGAATATGAAAAACATATTGCTATAGACTTCTCCAAATGGAATAATGACCTCACAAATCAGTCTCTGTAGCCTGCCTCTACTCATGACACTATTGTTTTACTTTAAGGTAACTAAGTAATTAATTCATGCAAATGAGACTAGAAAGAGGGCATTAAAATATCCATTTTATTTCAGCATTCATCGTGATGTTAACTAATAGGAATCCAAGATGGGCCTGAATGAGCCAACCCTGCCATTTACAGCACCCCAGTCATGGAATCTTCGGTACTCTCCAGGTCTCAAGAGATACTGCCTTCCTTTGTAGTTGGGCTCCTCATAGAAGATCCAGTTCCCCTGAACAACATTGCAAGAATGGATGTTGTTGTATTGGAATTGCTCATGGACATTGGAACAGTCTTCAGAGAATTCCATCATCTGACCTTTGAAGTCTTCTTTCTCATAAATCTTAATCTGTTGGGTCCCTCTGTGCTGTGAAAATAAATATCATACAAATCATCACACTATTGAATTTCTATTGTATTCTGGTCTAGGCAATATATAGACAACTAAAGCACTTTTACATACATGGTTCAAAAGGGCCACTCAGCACACCAAACCGAAAGAGCTTGTTGTAGTGGCTATGGTGCAAGGACCCTTTGGGTGCAGTCCCTCTTGTTCTTGTCAAATGTTTTTGAGCAGTTTGAGAAACAAATTCTGTCACCCAAAGCCCCCCTTTATTTTGGTATGCACTATCTCATTATTTGACTAATTTATTTGTATGGGTAAGCAAGTCTGTTTTTCTTATAGTACAGTAATATTTATATATAAAAAAATCTTTTTTTTTTCTGCAAGAAGTATACATTGAAAAGTTATTATATTTTACACCTGTAAATAAATGATATGATAACATAAACATACCTTTTAAATATACAGTAACCACTATGTTTTATAATAAAATATGTATTATTTTGAGAGTAAATGTGAAGATTAGCAATGTTAAAAAAATGGTATCAAAGAAAATGTTGGTATATATATATATATATATATGTTCTGACTTTCAAATCATATTATATACTAATAATACAATAATATTGTACATGTTTTCTAATGTTTGAACACCCAGAAAACATTGAGCTTTTATTAAACACAAAAAAGTCAAAACACGAATTGTTTGGTCATGTTTTTGCACATTATTTAAAACTATGAATCAGGACAAGCAGAGGCACTTTTGTGGCAGCGCTTGCTATGTATGACTATATTAAAAAACAATAAAACAAAAAAAACTTGAAACTCCACCTAAAACTCTCAAGGCCCACCCACCCACCCACCCAACTCCAGTCCAGAAAACAATAACACTTTTTTATTTTTAAAATTTTTTATTTTTAAAATTTTTTATTTTTGTTGTGCAGGTAGGTACATTGTAAAGTCAAGCGCCACAACAGCGCACACGAGGGTTACAGGGTGAGCATTGGCATGAGCATATGCACAGTATTTTAATATTTTGTAATGCAGAAGTGAGCTTAATGTAACATAGGAACATGTATAAGATCTTGGATTGTGTGGTCTGCGTGTGGAATAACTGATAGTATGGAAGCTGTGTGTTGCAAGAACCAAGTCTGGCTGTGTGCTGATTGATAACGGGTGATTACTAAGATTAGCCCTAGGCTGGAGCTCAGGCATCAAGAAGGCCTCTTGCTTGCTATGCTTGTAGCATTGTATAAGTGCTGTATGTGACGTGCGGGCTGAGAGCTCCGTCTCGCTGTGGGCAAGGTAGGTGTGCCTGTGTGTCAGTACTCGCGGGGGTGGTTCCCGAGCTGCTCCGTCTGAGCCCAGGATAGGGGTACTTAGATTGGTGCCTACCGAGAAAGCTTTTAAAGATAAATGAAAATAAGAAAGAGAGAAAAAAAAATAAAAAATTAAAAAAGTGTACCAATTGTGATTTCGGGATCGCTATAGCTGGTTTGTGTACAGGGTCCCCGTGAGGACTGCTGTGGGTTGTTGCCGTCCCTGGGGGGTTTCCCGTGGAGATAAGGGCTCTAGTCCCAGGGTGACTTGGCTCGGTGTATGTTTGGGAGGCTCCGAGTTACGAAGTGCTATCAATAGAAAGCGCTAGTGCTGGGGACGTGATGAGGGTGGCTTGTCATGTAGTGCCCTCCAATGTGTGGTGTGGGATCTAAACGTGGTAGGTAACATCAACATAAGAGAATAACGGTAACGTAAAGTTTAGTGAGATCCAATAGAGTTAACTGAAAACACAACTCCAGTGGTGAGGTAAGTTCAGGCCTGTCTCTGCAGGCTATCTGGAGCCGCTCAGGTAGTGACAGCTGCCCGTTCTTCTTGTCGCGCTCCTCGTGGTATGAAGGGGCGTGTTGTTGCCGGATTCCAGGTGTGAGGCAGGGATGCTGCCGTGCTCGATCGCACTGTGTCCAGGGCGTTTGTTGGTAGTCCCTGCTTAGGTAGCAGGTCGGCTGCCTCCTTGAGATCACTGACAGAATGTGTGTCAGTGCCGTATAGTATCTCCAGTGTGCGTTGCAGTCGCCATCGGTAAGTGAAGCCGTTGGTTCGGAGTAACACTGTGAAAGGCTTAAGTGACCTCCTCCATGCCATAGTGCTTCCGGACAAATCTGCATAGAACATCAGTTGCATTCCTTCGAAGGGGTATGGTGAGTTGTTTCGGACTGCGTTCATGAGAGCTGTTTTGTCTTTGTCGCTGTGGAACTTTACCAAGACATCTCTCGGTGCTGACGTTGGTGCTGACGTTGGTTTGCGAATTCGGAATAGCCCCTCCACTCCCACCTGTTTGGCCTGCTTATGGGTTAGCAGTCCTGTGAGAAGTCGACATAGGAAGTGTGGTAGTTCCTTCTCCGGGATATCCTCCGAGATGCCCCTTAACTTGAGGTTCGATGTGCGCCTCCGGTCCTCCAGCTCTGTATCCATTTTGTTTTGTTGGGTTTTTAGCTCTTGTATGGCTGTATGAAGACGAGTTGTGTGTTGGGCCTGTTTCTGGGTGTCACTCTCTATAGCGCCCATGCGGGTCATGAGGCCTTGTAAGTCCCCTCGGAGCTGGGCCGTGTCGGCCTGGATCGTGTGTTGGTGCTCCGCTAAGAGGCCCTTCATGATTGCCATCGTCACCGGGGCCGAGTCTAGGTGAGGGGTTGTGGGTTGACTGGTTCTCTGCTCAGGCGTCTGACCTCCTGGTGTTCCCATTGAGAAATCCTCGGAGATCTCCGAGTCGTCTGAGAGGTCAGCCATGTTGGGCTCTGCTCCCCTCCGGGCCTGGCGCCATAGATCGCCGATGTTCATGCCCATATGCGGTTTCTCGGCTCTTGGCTTCTTGGTCTTTCTCCCCATAGCGTGAGGGTATGCTGTGGGCTCAGTGAGCCTGGTGATTTGTTTGGTGGCCTGGAGTTCAGTGAACATGCGGCCATTCAGCTCTGTTGCTTGGCTCCGCCCCCCAATAACACTTTTAAAAATAATTATATGTGTTTATCCTATATTTATTGCACGTAGTTATGTTCCCTTTACACTTCCTTTAACTGAACAGAACTAAGAAAAATTGTTGCCGATAGTTTTAAATCAAATCTATTGTTTTCTCTTCATTAGGTTAATAATCAAAATACAATTGTAGCTACAAGAGATAATGGGAGATTTATCAAGACGAAAATCCATCCAAGCAAAATGGTAAGGATAATCACCATGGCAAACAATAGTACACATAGAATAGCACCTGTTTTACCTTGATACAATCTCCCCCCCCCAAAAAAAATATCTAAATTGTAGGGGGCTGACATAATTATTAGTATGAGCAAAATGTATTCTTGATCTAATCTTGGCCTACAACAGGCATAGGCAACCTTCGGCACTCCAGATGTTTTGGACTACACCTTCCATGATGCTTTGCCAGCATTATGGGTGTAAGAGCATTTTGGGGGATGTAGTCCACAACATCTGGAGTGCCGAAGGTTGCCTACCCCTGGTCTACAAGATCCTTTACATCTCTTTGTAATGAGGTTGATTTTATTCTACATGCTTTAAAATCAGTTGATAAAAGTGAAAATAAAAATCTCTAACACATAGAAAAGAAACACCGAGCACTTACTGGCTGGATCATGCGACAAGATCTGACGCAGTCATTAAAACCCATCCACCTCTGGTAGTCAGGATATTCACCTTTCTTCAAGTAATACTGATATCCCATGTAGTTGGGACACTCATATATCATCCAGCTGCCATTTTCAACTCGAATGGAGTTGCATTGGTCAACATGTGAGTGTAGATCAGAAGAATCTGAGCTGCACTCAAAGGAGCGGCCCTGGAAGTTCTTGTCCTCGTAGAAGATGATCTAGGCAAAAGAAAGTCAAAAAATAAACTGTCTCTATAACCTACGTTAGTGAAGAAATCAATTTTCAACATGTTATATACAATAATATAGCATATCATGCTATGGTACATTTATCTAGACAATTAGCAGCATGTCTGCAGTTTGCAGCCTATTTGTTTGTAATCATATTTTGATAAGACATCTAATTTTACAAGTCATATTTTGTTTTTGTGCAGCCTGAGGCAAACTGACAATAATTATCTTAAAAAAAAAAGAAAAGAGAATGTATAGTGGTTATATAAAATACATTGAGGGCAAAAAAAAAAACCTTGACAGGCGAAACGAAAACTAAGCGATGGCGGCCTCTACGCAACCCACACGGAATATCTCAAAAATATATATTATGTACACTAATAAACCAGCTTTCCTTTCTGTAACATGATTAAAGCGAAATTGAAGAATGGGCTTCTGCGTAAGCCGACATTGATATCACCTTAAATGTCTGTCAATGCAAAAATAAAGAATTAAAAAAAAAAAAATACATTGAGGGCAGCATCAAGAACTCTGCTGAACTGAAGATTATGTCCAAGTTGTCTAATATAACCCATATTTTGCATGTCAGGCAAGACAACCAACCTTGTACATTGCAAGGATGACATGTACATAGTCTATTCTTTGCTCATGACCACATTCTTCCTCTATTCTAAGAAGACTCTATCCATACACCCTCCTATTCTATTAAGACCCTAATAATATCCGCTAGATACGTTTTAGAGCAAGGATTTGTTAAATGCTTTCACCATGAGCTGTCCATGCCGTTAGTTAATAATTGTCAATATTTGATTGGTGATTAATAAAACACACATAGACTGATCCTTTATTGATTGCCTGATTGGTTGTTCTGTTTAATATACATTGACTCTGTTGTGTGGTCTAAACATTTATTGTTCCACGAGTACTCTGTGGCATGGCTTGGTCTGGATATAAATTAAAAGTCCATTGCAGTAGTGTTCTGGTGATCACAGGAGCTGTTCCAACAACTTACATTTGTGGGGCCCAATTCACACAGTCACTCACACAAATACATGCTCATGCTAAATATACATATATCTTGCACAAACCCCTTTCCATATCAAGTACACTTACAGTTCCTTTTTACATTTGACAATTAACCTTTGGATCCACTTTACATGCACCAAAATTCCAAAGCTCACTCCTTAACCATGCCATATATAAACAACGTTAATCTGACCTGGAATTAGGGGTTAATTATTGAAAGTGATTTTAAACCTCAGATCCATTCGAGTCATATCATCAAAATAAATTAGAATAAATGCCAAAGATTGGATAGCACTGGTCTTAGAAATATAAAGTGACACCTCTATGATTGAATCCCATGACTGGTGACAATTTCACCAGACCCTAAAAAAAGTCATCACAACTTGCACTGGGTCTCAAACGCGTTCACAAGAGCCACCATCAATCCACGTTTGTTGACTTGCCCATTCGTTTAAAAAAAGATTAAGGAAATGTTGCCCTTACCGGTGGTTCCTCAGAACTGGTTTGGTAAACACTGATAGGGAATCATTGTATTATTACTGTAACACTACTTCTACTAGTACAGTTACACAGATTATGTATTAAAATGTTCTGTTCAGCAACAAGTTTCAGCTTTTCTACAAAAAGTATGAAATAAGTGTAAAATAAATTGAGTAACTCTAACAGTAACTTTCTTCATTAATTACATTTAATTAAAAAGGTCCACAGCTCCATATGAGGTATCCTATATTCCTTAAACCACTGAGAATATGAACGTTACACTCACCGGTGATTATCAAGCCAGTCCTGAACATGCTAACATTTAAATACAATTGTCCAATAATTACTACATCACTACATTACTATAACTAATTATATTTACAATAAGTAATAATGCAAGTAATCGACACAGTAACGGATGCTAAACTCTTAATAAAAAGAAAATGTGCAGGAAACAGCCATCTAACGGCATGACAACAGGCACGTAATTTCAATCTAAAGACTACACATTTTGTAACCTTAATAAAATAAACCCCTGGGAAACTAAGAAGGAAGGTGTTAGACAAAAATACTCCCATTGACGCCAATAAGGACTTGATTTAAGCAATAATGTGAGTATACAATGGCGTTCAACACTTTGATTAAAATACCTTAAAGCGGATAGATCTAAGGTTTTTCTGGTAACATAATGCACCTTAGTTGGAAAAATTTATAAAACGTTACATAGCCTTTAAAGTCTGAATGGGAAACCAAGAAGTAAAGAATAAATTATGAAGATGACAAACATATTCAAATGTGATCAAACATCTAGACCATTGTTTCCATCCCAGTCATCTTAGTTATAATATAGTATGACAATGCAAAGAAACCAAAGAAGAACTTGGCCAATCTTGTGAATGAAAAATATTCTCATATTTAACTGTTTGAGTAGGCACGTTAGTGTTAGCTTTCATTTTGAAATATATCACAAACTAACACTGGTCAGTAAGACAAATACACAATATAGCCTATATTTTGTTACTACAGTTTTAGAAAAAAAAAATATATAAAGTAAAATATTTTCACTTTCCTAGATTGCTTACAGCTCTTCTCCCATAATATTTACAAGCTACCATCTGACCTCCCTTTTCGTACTGTCTGCATATGCATATACTATGCACGTTTAAGTAAATGCATTTATTTTTTATAATGTAGTTCATGGACAGTTTCCAATATCAAGGGCTACAGAGAGCATAAGGGAACACTGAGGCACAAATTGCATGCACATGTAGAGAACCAATATCCAAGGACACGTAATAGATACACCAGTACTATGTCAATGTCATCCTATAGAGCCATACATCCATGAACCTCTGGTTCTTCTGTAAACTCTGTTGCTGGGTAAATGCAGTTTGCTCTCAGTAGAGAGTCTTTCAGAATATGAATATTCATTTGCCGAGTGCTTACTCGTGTCAACATATGTGTGTCAGGGGCAGGTAGATTGAAATCATTTTAAACTTACTTTAAATACTGATAAAAAGTTCTAATTCTTTTCAGTGCAATATATATTTAGTTGATCAATAAAATGCCCTTCTTTCAATTTCGAAAAAATTTAAGTAGTTTTTCCATTTAATATTTTGAATTATTTTTGTGTTTGCAAATTGCTATTGATAATAGCTGTTAATATTGCATCAAATAATAGATAACTAAAAGTCATTATGTTACCTTTCCCATCTTGAAAGCAATAAACGATGAACACTCCTGGAGCCAGTGGAAAAATTACTTGGGTCTGTTTAAATACTCATGTTAGAATGCCCTCACTCTGCATATTGCATTGTTATTTTGATCAGAAGGGTTTTTTTTTATTTTTATTTGGTGCAGATTAATGAAAGTAGACATGCTGCATTGAAATTTTAGCATCCTATCTTTAATCGCTGTGTTTTAAGTCTTTGCTATCTGCTGAATGCGCTGTTCCATTGTTGAAGCTGATTAATCTGGCTGGTGTAATGAAAAGTCTGCTCAGCAAATTCTCTGTTCGGATGGACAGAAATACCATGTGATAGGGTGAATGAAAAAGAGAGTGTTTGGAAAAAATTGACATCACGATATTCTATTGATTTTATATTTCAAATAATTTAGACTTTTATCAGATTAATATAATCTTCATAAAATGTTTATAACTTTTTTTAACCTAAGGTATATTAAAGGCCCGGTCTAACCACCAGAACCAATAAAGACTTTGTGGCAAATAGTGTTTCCCCCCCTCCGAGTTTATGTCAGTTCTTCATTGAGTGACTTGACACATACTAAAGGTCTTCCAGGTGCCAGAGGCCAAGCCACATACTTGCTTAATTGCTAATGCAAAAGTTACATAATGCAGGGGGTTAGAACATATAATAGTTCTGATGAGTAAGGTCTTATAGAGATTAAAAGTAACATTTGTGTTAAGAAATCAGATATTGGAACTGCTATTGTGGAACTAACCCATAAGAGGTTGACCATACAACACATCAGCCAATCATAACATAGATCATCTCAGATCCCATCATGTGACCCTAAGCCGCCACTCTTTCTTTGTTGCTGCTCTCTCAGCACAATACTATATTTTTTATCCCTGCCTTGCTTTGTAAACATTTTTAGTGTATATTTGCCATAATTGCATGATTGTTGTATATTTTCTTCCCATTTTTTGATTGATTTTGAATGGGCTGTAGCTGCCTCTGCTCTGTCCTGTCTCGCTTTTGCTTGGTTGATTTAAACTCTTCCCATTTCCTGTTCACACGCCATTGCACCTTTCCTTGATTCAGGACACAGGTGTGCGAATGACACTCGTGCACAATTTGGCCACGGACGTACCTTTTTGATTAGGACACTGTGACGGACTGCCATCACTGAGTATCATGCCCACTGCTTATTCGTGTGTTTTCCCCTTGTATTCTCTGTTTCCCCATGTATTTGTATGAATTTCGTGTATTTTTCCTGTTCCCCGTTTGGTGGCGCTCATACAAACAAAACCATAACTAAATCATGCAGACCACCCTGATTTCCCATTTAGAATGCTCATTAGAATGTTCTGAAACCGCAAGGGAAATTAGTAATGAATGCTCCACTGGGTGGTTCGTATAGCCAAATGCCAACCAGGGGAATCATTCGTATCCCGCACTGGCGTGCGCACACTTTTTCAGGTCCTCGGGTCGGGGATCGCCCTACGTGCTCCTAACGGAGGAGCTACCCAGGAGCTGCAAGGCCCGGTTCAGAGCTGCCCAAGGAGTACTCTCTGTGGTGCTACCTAAGTGGAGGTATCCACCGGAGAGAGAGACGCGGGCCCCAGCGGAATCCCTGGAGCTGTGAGTTGGCTTCACAGCCATAGAAGTCCCTCTGGCTGCCTGAAAGGCCATGCCGACTAATGGGAGAAGGAGCGCCCATTCAAACGGGGTTCGCATCTTTCTCCTGATTGGGCGGCGAAACCCCTCTCCTCCCTGAGCACCGATTGGTGCGCTGGTGTTTTGTGCCCTTTTCCATGATTGGCTGGCATAATGTCTCCTCTCCCCGAGTGCTGATTGGCGTGATTTGGTTTGCGCCCTTTCTCCAAATTGGCTGTTGCTTGGTTTAGGCACGAAGTTTGAATTCACCGTACTAAACCAAGCACCACTGGGGAACTAATTGCGGGGATGTATAGGGCCTTGAGCCCCAGACGTTATACAATGATTTCCGTTTTCCTGGCACTGCAGGTCCCCTCTCCCTCCCACCCCCCAATCCTCAGTTGCTGAAGGGGTAAAAACCCCTTCAGTAACTTAAAGAAAATACAATCTACAAAAAGGAATGAACATGGAAAGTATAGTGTAGTAAATTCAAACACCAAATAATGTGCTGATTGAAATTGCACTCACAAGATGAAAGAGCAGTATAGGCACGTAACGATCTTTGGACTTGACAGACAGCTGAAGTCTTCTATTTCACCTTAAGAAGGGAGAGACACACAAACCATAGTGCACCAATATGATAAAAAGTAATGTATTTATTGAATTGCACTCACACGAAAAAAGTTGAAATCCAGCTTGTCACAATACTCACGGAATCACAGTGCCGGCGTCCTTCTTCCCATAGCAAGTAGTAACATAAAAACTAAATATAACAACCTATAGACGTTGAAAATATAACAATAAAAATAGATAAGATATAAATATCAAAGTGCTGTCGTGGTCCCTCCGCCCTACGCGTTTCGTCCAAAACTGGACTTCCTCAGGGGAAAGTGAAGGTATGTATTGCAGTCTCCTATGTCCGTCTTTTAAATTCAAAAACCATAAGTTCCTGCCTTCTGCATGGCCAATCCTATCCAGGTATAACACCTGGGATGAATTTGTGAGTTCCAAGCCTCTTTTGCAATTCGACCTTTCTCGGAGTTACTTCCGGTATCCCGTGGAACGCAAATATGCATTCCACGATCGTGAAACAGGAAGTTCTCGGATCCACATAAGAAAAGGTATAAAGAGTTGTAAAAAAAAAACCCCAAAAAACGAAATTATAACAATTTGAAACGTAAATACAAGCGTTTTCAAAGATAAAAATAAAATAAACATCAATCATAAATAACTTTCAATATTGATTAGAAGTTAAAGTCAATTTCCACACAGTTCATATAAAATATTTAACAGCAATAAATAATATCATTTATAAAGTCATTTATTGATATTAACCCTGCAAGGTAATTATTGCAGTTTATAAAAAACTGCAATAATTACACTTGCAGGGTTAAGAGTAGTCGGAGTTGGCACCAGACCACTCCAATGGGCAGAAGTGGTCTGAGTGCCTGGAGTGTTCCTTTAAATATCTGCCTGATTGGTCGCAGTCCTGAAACAATATCTTCCCCCCATTTTTGAATATCTGAAGACATCCAGTGAGTTTCTAGGATAAAACCAATTTGAACCCCATTATTTATTAATGTATTGTAAAATATCAGTTTTTTCCAGCGTGAATTCAAACCTTGCACATTTACAGACATAAGTCTCAGCATACTTTTATAAATGAGTATAGACATATTCCAACCTTGTATACCCCTCTAAACCATTTATAGCAAATACATTTAAGCTGGATAAAACCTATTTGGATTCCATTGTTTACTAAAATATCATAGAATATCTCTTTTTTCCAACATAAATTCAAACCTTGTACCCTAACAGACATACATTTCAGCATTTCCTTATAGAATGATGAGGGCTAATTCCCTCTTTATATCTCTCATTTAAACCATTTATTATAAAGGAACTTGAGCTGATCATACCAATACTTAATCCATAATTGACAGACTTGGACATAACAGGGTGAAAAATATGTATTTCCCCTACATTAAACATTAAAACTATCCAAGTTCCTAAAACCTTAGCTTCCCAAATCATCCGAAAAAATAGAAGATTTAGGAATACCTGTGAAATTTTCACAGATGGAGGGGGTTAAGTCGGGAGATCAATAATACCCGAAATTTATTAGGGAGGGGGAGAGAGAAGGACAAAAAAAACCCCATATACATCTGGATAAGTCAGTATATCCAACAGCCTATAATGGGCCAACATAACAGATCCAACCAGTGGTTCGTGTACTTTCTACGATTTTTTTCATTGTGACTATTGTATTCTTAAATACCAGTGATTATCTTCCATTACAGTGTTACTGTAGATAGTAACATATTTATCTTTGCAACCCATTTCTCCGTTACACTTCACCCTTATTGTTACACCCACTCTCACTACTTCTAGTATGTGACCCGTTAACACTTTTCCCTACCATTTTCATTTCCTGTTTTTTCCTATTCTTTCCTTTTCCCCTTTCCCTTCCCTTCGTCTCTTTCCCTTACTTAAATTTCCACGTTCAAGTGATTTGGCTCAGTGTATTAATTAACTAATCCCATATTCAATTCTAAACATTACTGTTTAACATTTACAGTGATATTATAGGTGAATTTAAAAATAAAATTATAACATTAATATGAAGTTTATAAAATTATCCTAAAATATAGAGTGTATTAGTTTGTGAGTCTGAAAATTCAAATTTTGTGTTTAAAATATATTTGTTCATGGTAACGTGTTTTTACACTCCATCTTCTATTTTTTTTTATTATGTTGACTTCCAGTTTTTTTCCTTTCTCTCATTCACTACCCTTCTCTCTATTCAGCTGGAATGTTCTTTCTCATTTTCCTGTTTTTCCCATCTCTGATTTTCCTTTGGGCTTATGGTTCTATAGTGAATTTCCTTATGGTTTAACTTGTTTGATCTTCCTCTCCTCTCACTTCCTTCAACTCTTCTTTCTTGAGCTCATTCTTCTCTCCCTTATCTACATTTTCTTTCTTCCTTTCTTATGTTTTTTCCCCTTTTTTCCTTTCTTTTTCTTCTCTTGTATTCCTTCCCCGGTCCTTTGTTTTGTTTCCTTCTTGATTTTCTCTTATTTTCTCTCAGATTTCACCTTTCCCCTCCTTTTCTGCTTTAAGACGCACTCAATTTAGTGCTCAACTATACCGTCAATTGAGATCATCATTTTGGCCGGAAAGCTCCATCTGTATCTTATGTTATGCTTGTTAAGGATACTGATTTCTGATGCAAACTGTTTCCTTTTATTTCTCGTGTTATAGGATAGATCAGGGAGGGCAATTACGTTGGAATATATTCCTTCTTTTATAACTTTCCCTCGATTCGCTTTTAGAACTTTTTCTTTAAATTCATAAGAATGAAAACACACTATTATGTCTCTAGGTGCCTCAGAAACTACATTAGATGGTTTATTCAGCCTATGGCACCTATCGAATATTTCATCGTATTCAATAAAGATAAGACCCAGTTCTATAAAATAGTCATGTAGTATTTGGCTCAGGTCTTCTTGCCTGTCTGTATCTTTAAAAT